TTAGGCAAGTCCTGGAATATTGTAGACACGTCCAAAAAATATAGTATATTGTTTAACGAGCACCGAATGATAGTGATTTCCTACGAGAATGAAGAAATAAAATTGATGACATACAAAGTATCTCATTGATGTATCGAACACAGTAAAACAAGAGCAATCTTGTGTTATAGCCGTAGAAAAAGTATTTTCTGGACTCGTTACGTGATTTTTCTTTGTATATTGAACAGTACTTATTATTGCTTTCTAGATAACCAAACCTCAGTAGATTTTTTTTATGTTCTGGTTCCCACGAAAAAAGGGATAGTCTGTAATGTTCAGAGAACATCGTGAGAACCAAGGGAAATAAGGTAGTAATTAGTGTTCTTCTTGAATTTCTGGAGGTTATATGCCTCGATGAACACCTGGCAATGTGTTCAAGAGCCTCGCTCTTCGTTGGATGAACGAGTCTTTGGAAAGATATGTTCTGCAGGTCTCCAAAGTGACCACGAAGGGGTGCGAAGCCTCAACTCGATGGGTTAATCCGTTAATGGTAACGGTTAATCTCGCGGGTACTGCCAAGGGAGGAACAATTGTTGATATTTTAGAAGAGCATCGTCCATGAAAATATCTATAGAATAGAGCCAGATCGCCAACTTTTCTAGAGAAGTGAGTGAGTTTGTGAGCGAGGCATCACCCACGAGACGAATTGCCCTTTCTTGGACAGAATCCAACAGTTTCAGGGTACGTTTGGGTGCTGCACTCCAAATATGGAAACAGTATTCCAGGGCAGGTCAGATCTGTGCCTTATAGATCATAAGCAGCTGACTGGAAGTGAAATAGCTCATGGCCCGAAACAGAAAACCAAGTTTTTGGGATGCACTTTTAGCAATTGATCTCACGTAATTTTTCCAAGGAAGGTTATTGCTGATGAGAATACCAAGCATCGAAATGGATGTCTTCAAAGGTATGGTTACTCCTGACAAGCTTATGTTGGGCACAGTGAGATCGGCTTTGTTAGAGAAAAGGCATGCAAAGGTTTGCATTGAAATCTACTAAGTTATTGGATAACCATTCGAGAATTGTTGCCAAGTCCATATTTATGTTGTCAACATTTCTCCCTCGTTCGTTTCTGATTCGCCTGGCTGGTATTGGAGCCCTGAAAGAGAAGGCGGTATGGAGGGTACTATCATTCGCGAAGCTGTGTACTGGACATGAAGTTGCTTCCAACAAATTGTTGATATGGAGTAGAAATAGTGTTGGTGCTAGAATTGATCCTTGCGGAACACCAGCATTTATGATAAGAGAGTCAGATGAAACTCCGTCGACCACTACATGGAACTTTTCTTGATAACAGTATCTATCAGTACTGCGTACAAAGAGGCGAGAGAATTATATTTCTCTACTTTATCTATCCTTATCAGCCATTCGCGTGTTGGTATTTTCTATACCTACGCGAATCAAATTATTGCTGCATATTTATTAATATTATTAATGATAATGATGATAATAATAATGATGATATTATTCACATAGATAAGTGCTTCCGGAACAATCCCTAATCACGAATACAATTATTATGTGAAATGACTTCCGGCAGGGAGAATCAATTTTCTCTTCTATGGTGGTATCTTCCGAAGGCAAAAAAATACGCGTGCAGTATGATTTGGAAACAGGAACGCATCAACATGAATATCCATAAATTATCTATGGGTTTACTATGGGTCGTGATGATTTTTGGATCTCCTAATAACCAGATTTTCATTATGTCAATCGCTGATGTGGTGCTGGAGTATCTTCATTCTACATTCGAATCGCTGAAACATTTATGATGAAAAATTGATTTTTTTAGTGGACAAATTAAATTGAACCGTTGGTATAGGTTAACCAATACCAACGTATATAGGAATTATAGAACCCGACTATCTGTGTTATGATGTTCATAATTTATTCATTGATATAGAAAATCGTTCCTTCACTTCATATCTTGACTTTCTCGAAAGAGAAAATAATTCAGAGCTCAATACAAAATCATTTATTTTTATTAAAAATATCTCCTGCTGTCAGAAAATCAACTATTATGCTTATGTTTCAATAATATTGTATACGCAGGTGACTCAGGAACAGCTATTTTAGCAGTCTATAGTTGTTTAACATCGTATACACTGCACTTTTTAATTACTCCAATGACGTCAGAGTAATACAGCGTTTTTAACAGCTGCTGCTGATTTCATTGCTTTTCCCAGCAATTTCAGTATCAGTTAAAAATTAAACGGATTTTGCGAATTAGGTATATTTCATTATTAGTAACGCTTATCAAACGATAACCTAATATGTTTGATAACATTTACGTAACAAAAAATAGCGTGTGGGCAAAAAAATTGTTATTTATTATACAAGGGAAAAAAGTAGTAGATTTTAGCTCCAGGTTGTGTTGACAAAAAACCGTGAGCTAAAATCTAATATTTTTCCCGTGTATAATACACTATTTTTTTCTGTGACAGGAGGAAGGACGAATCAATATTGAGAAGATATTACATTATTCCGAAATGTGAAAATTATCGACGTGAAATTTCAAGTTTTTAACAGTAGGGACACCTGCGTTTTATAGACATCTTCATCATTCTTTTGAAGTAATCAAATATCTGATGTCACTTCTGTCAGTTCAATTCTGTGATTTGATTTTAAAAAATTGCGAATTCAGTAGTTGTTTAGTAATATACGAAACCGCGAAGTCGAATGGAAGATAAAAGGACTTGCAGTTCTTTCTCGGAGACGGTATTATTGACTCATTTTTCGGAACTATAGCACAACAGAAGCCATTTACAAAGTATATACAGGGTGTCCCTAGACCAGTGGGACAGTTGAATATCTCCTGAACCAATAGGAATTTTAAAAATATTATAATTTCACATCATATCGCATTATGAGGGCTAACTTCAGGAATGACTATATTTTATACGAGGGGCGCAAGAAAGGCTCACAAAATCGAACATCATTTTTTTCAAATGGAACACCCTGTATTTCATTGCATTTTCATATTCTCCTTGAAGAGCTGAATTCAACGACCTAGCACACTTGGGGTCTAGCGGGAATGATTTCCGAGATATAGGGTGTGGAAAATCGAGATTTTTCATTTTTGGGAATTTTTTGTGTCAAAACTATTCATTATTGGTCAAAACGGCTTACATGTTCATGTCTTAACTTTTGATTTACTATTTACTCGTATGTAATAGAAACAAATACAGGGTGGTGTAGAATTCTCAGTTTCAGTCAGAATTCTACACCACCCTGTATTTGTTTCAATTATATACGAGTAAATAGTAAATCAAAAGTTGAGATATAGACATGTAAGCCGTTTTGACCAATAATGAATAGTTTTGACACAAAAAATTCACAAAAATGAAAAATCTCGATTTTCCACACCCTATATCTCGGAAATCATTCCCGCTAGACCCCAAGTGTGCTAGGTCGTTGAATTCAGCTCTTCAAGGAGAATATAAAAATGCAATGAAATACAGGGTGTTCCATTTGAAAAAAATTATGTTCGAGTTTGTGAGCCTTTCTTGCGCCCCCCGTATAAAATATAGTCATTCCTGAAGTTAGCCCTCATAATGCGATATGATGTGGAATTATAAGTTTTTGAAAATTCCTATTGGTTCAGGAGATATTCAACTGTCCCACTGGTCTAGGGACACCCTGTATATGTGATACATATCCGGGAAAAAAGTACTCACTTTTTTCCCACGGGAAAAAAGTAATTTATGAAAAGTGACATTTTATAACCTGCCAACAGAGATGAAATGCCAAACTTTTTTCCCGTCACAGAAAAAAACAACAAAAACAAAATCAGTTGAATATTCTTTCATCACAAATGTTCAGAATGGGGTAAAAACTGATGAATTTCAACCAATGAAACATACTTTTATTTCGTATGGAACAATTTCACTTGTACAAGAGTGGTATGTAATATGTAATTAATAAATTAACAAATTATATGGCAACAATAACAGCTGATTCCAGTTAGGATAAATAATGAAGGTTCAATTTGTTATTCAAATCTTCCATTCGGTTTTTCAAATGCAAAAGTTTTTCATAGTATTGTTCGAAACTATAAATTTTGCTCAAAATTGCCTGGATATTTGCTTGTATTTCTCTGAAGATATTTGCTGATTTGGTTTCAAATCTGAAATAATTTTTAGTTAATTGTTCTGAATTCTGCTAACTCTGACTTTTGTATCTAAATCTTTTCGCTTTAATTTATTAACCAACTCTCTATTTTTTTCTTCTATTTGTTTCCTGAATTCCTCACTCTCTCCCACTCGTAAACCTTGGATTTTTTAATATTACTGCTCTAAAAATTCGATTCTCAAGTCTTCTTCTTTCAAAATATGTTCGAAATGAATTTCATTACCTGCAAGTTTTCCATTTCTTGTTGGTTCGGAATTGGAATAAGGCTTTCGATACTCACTCAGTTTATAAGTTGTGGGTCCGGCTCTTTCTCTCAATACGATCCTATTCTTCAACATCAAATCTTCCGTTCTGAAGTGGACCTGATAAAAATGCGTTGGAAAATGGTCTATATCCTACCGAGAAATTTAAATACCTCGTAAATTTTGTGGCCTGAACCTATATTCCGAACCGGCCGCATCTTATTCTGTTTCCATTTTTGTAGAATAAAGTTATCCGATGGAAATTCGAATAGAGTGAATTGATTTCCCTTGTTCTCACAGTTGGAAACTGCACAAACTTGCATCTTTCTCCCAATTCTCTCAATTTGCCAAATCTTTGAAACTTATGTCATGTACGTTCGTGTACTGTCAGTTCCCGCTTTTTCCATCAATTTATTTGTGGTCATGTCTGATTGTCAGTGCTTGTCATAGTGTCCGTACTCTGATATACAAAAAAATGTCAAAACAGCAGTGTCAAGCACATTTAGGAACTCTAGCTTCAAGCAGGTACACCACTGGTCGGGGTAATTGAAAAAATCGTCCAATTTCGTTTTGCCATTACTCTAATCTTATCTGGACTGTAACAAATAATGTTTGTTCGACGGAATATGAAACGTCAAATCGCGATCATCGTTAGTGGGTATTACCTACTCGTGTCTGCCACATCACATAAAATAAATACATTCTGCTGTTCGAATTGCTCGAAATTCAAGGTAGGTTTACTAACACCATATGTGCAGTGAGATACAGCGAAATGGACGAGAATCTTGAAGTTGAAGATGCAGAGCTGCATACTAGTCAAAGACCAAGTGAGAGCTCTGAAGCAGATGCAGAAACTAATTTGGCAGAGGTAACTGACTTCAATACTCTACTTAACATATGTTGAGGTATCCGAAAGAAAATAATCGTTAACAAGAATCTAGAGTAAAAGTGATGTTCCTCACTAGAAGGAATCATTCCACAAATAATTATCCTGAACCATTCGACTAGCCTATATGATAAGACTCCTTCTCTGGCTGGAACAAAATTATTTAATAATTTACCATCTGAGCTGGAAGATATACAATCATACAACCTCTTCAAGAAAAAAGTCAGAGAATTTTTGGTACTGCATAGTTTTTACTCCACCTCTGAATGCCTTAGTTATGAGTAAACTGGGAGTACAGTTTTTAATTTTCAATTCTAAATATTAAATTCTTAACTTTCTGTATTCGGATGTTTTGATTTTTAAATTTTGATATTCAATTCCTAACTTTCTGAATTTAAATGCCCTCAATGTATTTTGTTTGTGATTCTTCTATGAATGTTATGATTCTCTATTTTTAATATGTAGGTTTATATTATATATAAAAATGAGATATATTTCACCCTTGTGAAACATTGAATATACAATGACGTTTAGAAACTAAGTTAATATAGTGTGACCCATTTCAATGGAAATACCCCCGTAAAATTTGAAGTTGTAAATCGATTTCAATATTTTTTTTTTGAAATGTCAAGTACTAAAATGTCTACCTTGGGACAAAATTTGAAATGTTTATTCAAATTTTCAGGGCATACTACGATATTTTTTCTGGATTCAGAGTGCCTCTAAACAGGTGTGACCAAAATTTAATGAAAAAGTATTCATTAAGAACAAAATTATGACAACTCAAAAATTCGAAAACTCACACAGCTAACAGTCACAAAAAACACCTTTTATCAACAGATATATAGCCATGAGAATTGTCCAAGTTTTTATAATTTGTGTAGGGTAGGGAACTTTTGAGATGCACTGTACTTATAATAATATGCAGCCTGTGGAAATACACCTCCATCAGCTTGTAAAGACCATCAGCATTGCCATTAATTAGATCATGAAAATCATCCATATCTCAGAGTGGTCCTATGTAATTTCAAAAGAAAAATGAAAGAAAACACAAAGTCGGTCGACCACATTTTATATAAAAAATTTCCTTAGAAAGTTACAAAACAATTTATATAAAGATACCAAACAATATGGGACTCAAACTAAAAAACAATAATCATGGTGAGCACAACGATTTCGTCAACAGGTTGGAAGAATCTGTAGCATTACAAACATGGTTTATAGAAAAAAATATTTTTATACAAACGGCATCATTTGCAGTCAGTACTAAAAAGAAATGAAATTTAAAAAATTTACATTATGAAAGGAAACAAACTTTGACGTTGGACACGTCGGACACGAAACAATAAATTAGTGACTTAAATGACACAATAGATCTTAAGATAACTAAGAAGAGAGAAGATGAGAAGAAGAGAACTGAGCATGTAGGAAACAGATCAAAGAAAAAGAAGAAGAAGATAATAGAACAGAAGAAGTGAAAAGTGTAACAGAGAAATGAGAAGAAGGGGGGAGGAATAGACAATAAGATATCCAGAACATATACGTATTAATAAACAATACGGATCATAACGGGTGCCAGGATGAAGCCAAAAATCAATAACAAATGAATATCCATAAGGATTTGGTGGCATGATACGCATGCGCCATGCGCTATTGTAGTAGTCATCAAAGACATGCGTTTCGGTGGACAATGACGTTTACTAGCCTTTCAATCAAAGCAGTATGTGTCTGATCGTTTCAAAACTTTTCCTTATGGATAGTCATTTGTCTTCAAAAATCGGCTTCATGTTTCGCTATGGAAACAGATAGAGATTATCCGTATTGATTATTAATACGTATATGATCCAGAAGCGGAGAGCCGTAGTGCCGAAACCGGTAACTTTTTAAGGAACTTTTTTATATAAAGTGTGGTCGACCGACTTCGTGTTTTCTTTAATTTTTCTTTCGCCATTAATCGTTTCACGTGAAATTATCAATATTTTGTAAATTCCGATTACTCCGTCCCTGGATGCGTTGAGAGGATCTGATGTGAAAGAATGTATCATCGTCATCGATGATGAGAACGGTACCAAACTCATAAACAATGAAAATGCCTTGAAAAATTACTCTGTTACATCTATTCCGGTATCCCCCTACTAATTCAATCATAAAAATAGCATAGGCAGTATTGTGTGATATAACGATTCAATAATATGTAATTTACATATTATTCACGTTCTCAGAGAGATATATGAAATTGCGTCAACGCATTCTCATGGACGCGAGAACGCGGGGAATCGATTCAAGTTGATATATTATACAAGGTGTTACGAGTTTACGTATCAACCGAGGTATCAACTATCATCATCATAATATTCTACTCGACTTTCCCACAAATACGGGATATCTCTCGAAATTATTTCAAGCACACATTGGATATGATTTGTTGGTATACACACTATACAGGATATTCTGGATATTTCATAATTAGTGAGACAAACTATGATGGTTATTGGACGCTACGCAATAAATAAGAAATAGCCTGATAATGTCCAAAAACTCGTCTTTCTCGGGATACAGGAAAGTTACATGTGAAAGGAAGAAGTAAAATGGTCAAAGTCATCTCCACACTCCATTTCCGTTTTCAGCACAGAGAATATACTCACTAAGATTCAATCGATTCAACTGATTTTATTTTGGAAAGATTTTGGCTGTTGTTCAGTGATAACTAATATATAGTAAACAGTAAATAGGTAGGTATGTGATGTATTGTTATGACTGTTGATTTATTTTCTCATGTTGTTTTCTGCTCATTATAGGTAGGTAAATATAGGTAGGCTGGGTGTAGGTACTAACTAATTGATACCTAGTTCGTCTGTTTTTGTTAGTGATGAACAAAACTCCGCTAGGAACCATACTGAATGAAATCCATGACCAATCATAATCAATATTTTTAATGAACTATTTAGATAAATTCATAAAGATAACTATCGATTTTTTTCAGATGTGGACATTACTTATATTGGTACACTGAAGTTAATATAATTGGGATTATTGGGAACCATGAAATTAGCATCATTTTTCTTTCTATATTCAGAACCCTACATACAAGATTCATTAAAAGATTCAGACAAAATTTTGAATGCAAGAATTTCGACTTTTTTCAAACGTTATCTTGGTGGTGTCATGGTGTCAAAACAATTGCATGAACATCGGAAAGTTGATAAAATTACTTATTTTGTTTCGTACCCCCTATATTTTCATGTCCATTTCCAGATCTTTACTTCCTGAATTTCAGATAAATATAGGGACTGATAGGTCTGGCTATCAAAAATTTTGACACTGGCCGACAAGGGCTGGCAAAATTTTTCTTCATGATATAAACTCAAAAAAAGTTTTATTAACAATGATGTTGATAGAGGAACAATGTGTCATAGATCTACAGCTAGAACCGAGGCTAGAACCTACTGGCCTACTGCAGTTTTATCAGCAACATGCTTCAAAATAACAAAACAAATTGTCGGAAGGTAGATCGAAAGAAAACCTAAATTTTCTTCGCAATCAGAGTTTTTTTCGAAATCTAGGAATCAATGTAGAAAAAATTTTACTTGAATCCCATTTTATCGAAATTGGTCAAGAAGTGTTCCTATATAGAATTTTGCTCCACACGTTTTTTATTTTAGTTCTTCTTCTTATCCTTCACCGTATCCTTTGCTTTCTTCTACTTCTATTCTTTTGATTTGTTTTTCCCACCACTTGCTATAACACCTACCAGTATTCACTCCTCTGTTGTAATTAACCTGAATTCACTGTTCTGATGGCAGTGATGGCACTCGAATCTAGTAAATATTTATCAATAAGACTTGTCATATCATTATGCTGTGATGGTCATGGCTATCAGATTTCAATTAAAATTGAAAAAAAAGTGCTGAAGCCTTGGGATATAATCTTGGTCCCTGGGTAATACTGATATAGATTATCTTCTGTAGTCTATGCTGATAGTCTTACTACCTTGGTGAAGGTATAAATAAATATTCACTACGAACTCCAACAACGTCTCAAACTCACCTCCTCCCTCTTTTTCGTTTCAGGGCGCCGGCCTAGGCACCACCACCACGCCCCAATCGCAGCAGTTCTACGCGGCCCCGCCCTCGGCCGGCTACGCCCCGCCCCACTTCCACGCCGGCCTCCAATCCGGCCACCCGCACCCCGCCCACCTCGGCCACTCGCCGCCGCCTCCGCCCCACTGCGCCAGCCCCGCCTACTACAAGGACGAGCGTGCGCAGCGCCAGCACAGCAAGCTGAAGCGGAAGCTGCAGGAGAAGCAGACGACGACGACGAACGGGGCGGGGCTACGGCGAGGAAGCGGGGCGAAAGAGCGGGGGATGAACAGCGTGGGAACGAGCGAGGATGGGGAGGAGAGCAGCGTGCCCGACGAGGAGGACTCGTTTCACGTTTACATCACCGATGTGTTGTCGTCCGTCCAGGCGCCCAAGGTATGGTCCTTTCCAGTCCGAATTATTTTCTCGTGGAAAAAAAATATAATGTTGATTAATACAATGATCAATGATGATAATAATCACATTTTCATATTGAAATGAATTGACGCCATCTGGAGTCAGTGAGCAAATGATATATTCAGGTACAAAACTAACATAATTCAACTCATTAACAATGGAGAAACTTGAAACAATTCTTCTTTTGTTAAATATAATGTAGTTCCTCAGCTTATCAAATCTATTCCTAGACACGATATGAGCAATAGGCGAATACCTTGTAGATTCGGCCCAATAAATCCGGTAACTTGGCATTCTCACTACGCAACTCAGAATATGAATACCTAGACCTAGGAATTGACTAATTTCATTCGAAGTTGTATTCAGAGATGATCCAGTCTTCTCTACTGAATATACATTTGTCTGTAGCACGATATTCTCTAATATATTGTCATCAAAGAAATATTTTAAATAATATGATGGTCTTTGTTCAGGTTCAGGTGGTTCCGAAAAATTTATTTCGCATATTGAATCTATTTTGTCTAAATCTCTTTGATGCCAGTGATTTTTTCTTCCTGTTGACTTAGAGACAATTTTGGGTGGATTAGTTGTTTGAATATCAAATAGAACAGCCAATGATATTTCATCATCAGTCATATCTCTTTTCATTTGTTTTCTCATTGCTTATTTTTCATCATCAGCATCCTGGTTTCCTTCATTTTCATCTTCGGAGTTCATGCCGTTTCCTGTCACAATTCCTATCAGATCATTTTGTTCGTCAACCTCGGTATCATCATCCGACTCTTCCATGTCTAAATCAGATACATCTCCTTCTAGAAGCAACAGAAGTCCTCGTTCTTCCTCGTCAGTTAGCCCTACTTTGATCATCTAAAAATCTCAAATGATCAGAAGTTGAATTATCTCCAATGAAATTATATTCGAAATGAAAATTACAAGAAAAGTATAATTTGGTAGTCCTATACAAATTAACATCAGTTCTACCAACCTTGGTCTGAACCTATTTATTCCATGCTGGCCGCATCATTCCATTTTTGTTAAATTATATTATCCGATGGAAATTCGAATAGAGCGAATTGATTTCCCGTGTTATCACAGTTAGCTGCACAAACTTGCATCTTTCTCCGAATTCTCTAAAATTGTCTAACCTTCAAAATGTACGTCCGTATACTGCCAGTTCCCGCTTTTTCCATCAATTTATTTGTGATTATGTATGATTGTCAGTGCTTGTTATAGTGTCCGTACTCTAAAACTTCAAAACAGCAGTGTCAAGTTCATTTAGGAACTCTAATGTAAACTAATGACCTTGACGACCGCGAATAGGCGTATGCTCAAATGACCTTGAGAAAGACCCGAAACCGGCCTATCTCCTCTACTCGCGAACTTGTACCGTTTGCGCTTCGTTGCAGGTGTCCGACCTGAGCAGCCGCAGTGCCTTGTTGCAGTGGGCGCCTCCCGTGCGTCTCTCTGAGTCTGCGAGCACCGACAGCCGTGTCGACGTGGACGTATCCGAGTCGGAGCTGCGCTACGAGGTGCTGCTCAGCGACAAGGGCAAAGAGATGAAGTTCAAGTCGATCTACAGCGGCCCGTCGCTGTCCTGCCGCATCCAGGACCTGCGGCCCGGCCAGGAGTACTCCGTGTGCCTGCAGGTGAGTGGTTCGTTTCTAGCGAATTTCATTGGCAGGTGCTGGTGGAGTGTTTCTGCACTCATCAATGTATATGTTTCCTTTTCACTCGTATGTGTTAACAGAGGTAGTAGTAGTAGAAATAGTAGGTGGGGAGGCTGTAACCAAGCAAGTAGGCCCCGTTGGGCCCTTCTTGCTAACCCCTACACTCCACATATCTACGCTTCCTTCACCTAGATTTTCTTTACGAATCTCCCTGACCTTCTGATGAAGACCAGTATGTCCGTCCACTCTAATATAATCAATTCATTCTGTTGGAGTTTGTCTACTCCGAAGATTTCGTATCTCGGCCTCCCGTACGCCTCGAACTCGCCGAGAAAATGGAGTGACGTTTCCTCGTCTTCCCCGCATCTGCGGTAAGTGGAGTTGTCCTCTATTCCTATAAGTGATATGTGTCTGCCTAGCCTGTTGTGTCCTGTGAGTACTCCTATGAGGAAGCGGAGCACTTGACGGTCTCTGCCAAGCAGCCAATCCTTGCTTGATTTGCTTGGACCGGCCATGAATTCCATGGCCTGCCTGCAAACTGTGATATTCCTCCAGTATTCTCCTAGTGCCTTGTCCTCCCATTCATCGTGGGCTGACGTAAATTGGCTCCTTGCTATAGCCTTGAGTGCCTCCTGACTATCCGAACAGATATAGATCTTCTGCTCTGGCCCCTCTTTTACCTCTTGCCTCTCTGCTATGACCAGGATGGTTAACACCTCAGCTTGGAAAACTGTGGTGTATTTTCCTAGAGCGAAGCTTTCTCGTATGTTTGTCCCTTCGAGATAGACCTGTTTGCCAGTCAAACGGGATCCCTCTGTGTAACATACTAAGCTTCCTGGGCGAAAGTCCACGTATTGCTCCTCTGCTTGGAATAGGAAGTTTCAACTTCTTATTCCATCTCAGCCTGTCCTGCACTTCATTCACTCTGAGAGTGGAGATAGGAATCTCCTGCTCCACCCACTTTGATATTCTTGCATGTCCTGTTATTGTCCCTTCATTTGCCCAGTTTCCTGAGTCCCGCATCCTCAGGTGGGCCGCCATCGCCTCTTACTTAATCCAGATTTGAAGCGGTGGTAGCACCAGCATTACTTCTAATGCTGCCGTTGGCGTCGTCCTCATTGCATCTGTTATTGCTAGGCATGCCATCCTCTGGACCTTACTTAGAGGTAAATATACACACAGTGGAGAAATACAGCACCAGTTCCTTCAAATGAAATTCGCTATTAGAGTGACTTTATATGTTTGATTGGTCAGACCTCTGAATGGACTATGGAGGTCGATCCACCTGTCAGAACTTCCAACAATCAGACATAAAAGTCTATACGTCAGTACCTTGGATATTAACTATAAGTGTCTTTTGGGACACGTAAGTCTCAGATTATTAAGATGATCAATATCACTTTCCAGGTGCACCTGGACGAACTGCAAGGCTCGGTGACGGACCTGGTCAAGTTCGTGACGCCCGCCTGCGAGCCCGACCAACCGCAGCCGCCGAAGCTGATCAACCGGACAAAGAGCTCGCTGCAGCTGCGCTGGAACGCCGTCCACGACAATGGAGCGCACGTGCTGCACTACGTGCTCGAGTACGACGAGGGCAAAGGCGGGGACTTCGTCGAATTCTACAAGGGAAGGTGAGGTGTACACTCGTGCAGGGTGCTCCATTTCTTCAGAACCATTCCTTTCCTACATGTTGATTCATGTCGCAAGCATTCATTCCATAGCCTAGCAAAGATCGGGAAAAAAGTGTACTTTCTGTCACAAAAAGTGCAGGTTTTTCACAGTTTTCGCTGTTCCAGGAACAAAACCCACACGCTGCAGAAACTCCTGCCGGCCACCGACTACACCTTCCGCCTGGCCGCCGTCAACGAGGCGGGCAGGAGCGCCTACTCGAAGCCCGTCGCTTTCGGCACGCTCGACCACCCGCCTGCCCAGCCCGCCCCGCCTGCCCTCGTCGAGGCCAGCGTGCGGGCGCTGCGACTCGAATGGGCGGGCGGGCCGCGCGACGACGAGTTCGTGCTGCAGATGAACGACGCGCGCACCAAGTACGGCTTCCTGAACGTGTATCTGGGCGCGGAGACGGGCCACGTGGCCAGGGATTTGAGGCAGTGCAGCGAATACTCGTTCAGGTCGGTGTTTCAATACAATAATAATAATTTTTATACATCTAGCAGGTCTGTAGCCCAATTACAGGGGTATAGTATACTTACCTGGGTATATTAAAATCAGTCTATATTATAATTTCTCCTTATCTGTATATAAAAAAGATATTTTCCAATTCACTGAAAATACTATTTATACATGTAGTTATAACATTTTTTTTCCTTTGTTAGTTCAGCTATGCTCCAAAAATTCCTTCTTGAACAGCCTCGGATTTGTCCATTCATTTGTAAATAAAAACTATTTAACCTATTTGAACATTGAATATTCTTGTTGTTTCATCTCACTATTTGGTATGGAATCGAATTTTGCATTTCATTGGGATTATGTGAACCCATCATCAACTTATTCATGCCGAAAAGATGTTGCTTTCATTACTGGTCAGTGAATAAAAGTTGTGGTGATGTCTTTGTGTTTTCTTCTACAATCTACGGCACTTCACGTTGTGTTACCTTCCTGTTTACAATACCTTAATTTTTTTAGGCTGAAGTCGAAGAACGATGGTGGCGTTTCGCCCTGGTCGGAAGAAGTGACATATTACACCCTGCCAGACAGGCCTTCGAGGCCGTCGAAGCCAGTCGTCAAGGGCAGGATACACGCGCATTCCTTCAAGCTGAAGTGGGAACCCCCTAATGATACCGGAGGGTCCGAGATAACCAAGTGAGTTCAGAAATATGCTGCTGATGAGTTGATTTATAGACCTAAAACTGTGTGGAAATAAAAAGACTGGATAATAATAATGACGTTTATTCATTGAAACACATTAAAACCCTCTCGGAGTACCTCTCGGCTCCTAGTGGTCGGCCATGTATATATTGTTTCAAAATGATTGAGTTTTATTTCTTTATTTACTACGTGTAGAATTTCGATAACATCATCAAAACTATGGTTTTCTGCTAATAATATATGGTTGGCGTATGTTGAATTTGATTTCTTTTTCAAAAAATTCATCTTATGTTCATGAATGCGCTGATTGAACGTACGACCTGTCTGACCGATATATACCTTAGGACAAGATCCATAGTTGAGTTTGTATACTCCTGATTTCTCGAATTTACAAGTTTTGTCTTTACTATTTTTGATAAACCTTTCCAACGTGTTATTTGTTCTATATGCTACTTTCAAGTCCTGTTTTTGTAGAAATAAAGCTAGTTTTTCATGTGATGATCCAAAATAGGTTAAGGTTCTATAATTTTGATTATTATTCTTGATGGTAGGATAAACTTCTTGAATAGCTTCATTATGGAGTTTTTCAGGAAGAATACTTTCTATCAAATCAACGTTGTATCAGTTGGTGACTTCAATCTGTTTTATGATATTGAGTTCTTAATTGAAATTTACTTCCGAAAGAGGGACATTCACTAGCCTGTGTATCATAATATTATAAGCTGCAATTTTATGTTGATTAGGGTTTGTAGAATTATTATGAATAGTGATCACCATAGTATATCGGCCAGACAAGCCGTTCGTTTAATCAGCGCATTCATGAACATAAGATGAATTTTCACCAACTGGTCTGCAATCTGTTTTATGATATTGAGTTCTTTATTGAAATTTACTTCGAAAAGAGGGACATTCACTAGCCTGTGTATCATACTTATTATAAGCAGCAATTTTACGTTGATTAGGGTTCGTAGAATTATTATGAATAGTGATCACCATAGTATATCGGCCAGACAAGCTGTACGTTTAATCAGCGCATTCATGAACATAAGATGAATTTTTTTGAAAAGATAACAAATTCAACATGCGCCAACCATATATTAGAAGAAAACCATAGTTTTGATGATAATTTCGAAATTCTACTCGTAGAAAACAATGAAAAAAAACTCTTTCAAGTTAATCCGGTACACCGTATTTTAATGTAGATATTGTGCCTAATTTCCGAAAATGAAGGTTTTTCAAACCTGTCCACAGGTAACTAATCCTCCAGGTTGGGAAAGTAGGATAAATAAAAGTTAAGCAAGCCAAAGTTAGTTTAGTTCATTGTACCAGTATATTACCTGACGAGGTTACTGTGTGTGTGTACTACTTAGTGAAACATGTTGTGTGTTTGAGAATTTTGTGGAAATCTTACATGCAAGCATATGAATCATTTCAATACAATGTACTTTCACATATAGTTCCACATCTGGCCACTTTGGCGCTGCTATCCCAAATTCAGTTGCCTAGGTCATCATCTGACGTTGCTATGACATGATAACTATGGGATAGATTGAAAGTTAGACATGTTCTCCCGTAGTTTTTATGAGGGAGTTGGCGGGGGAAGGAGTGGGGAGGGGATGTGGGTGAAGGTCGAGATGGACATCGAGGGATGAATAGTAAGACGTAGCCGACATAACTACATAACTTTCCCTTCGCCTGTTCCAGGTACATCCTGGAAGTGAACTCGGGCAGCGGCTACGAAACGGTGTACGAAGGTCCCGACACCGAGGCCGTCTGCGACCGGCTGACGCCGGGTACGACGTACCAGCTGCGCGTGGGATGCGCGGCGGCGGGTGGCGGCAGCGATTTCTCCGACCCGTGCACCGTCACGACGGACGCCGTGGCGCCGGGGCGCTGCCCACGGCCCAGGGCGGCCGGGAAGCCGACCGCGCATTCGGTGACCATACGATGGGTGAGTGACAGCGTACACGGTTCTTTTGTATACAGGGTGTTTCAAAAAAACCTGACCCCCTTACTAGGGTAGGTAGAACACTGCAAAATAAGTTGGGTTTACTCAGTAAAAACATTTCGTGAAATCGGATGCCGTTACGACATTTTTTCACGAAGCAAACCCAACTTATTTTGCAGTGTTCTACCTACCCTAGCAAGGGGGGTCAGTTTTTTTCGAAACACCCTGTATATCATTCCATATAATTATGTAGTAGTAAGTAGTAGTAGTATGTCCTAATCTTTCAATAAATTCAATAGATAATAATACAATTTAAATCTGAATGTGTAGAACACTGAAAGTGAATAACACTTATCAAAATAAAGACGGCAAAAATGTATAATAAAGATACATAATATATAATGAGAGATATAACGAGTACCATGTACGATTCAATATCAACATTTATGCATTTTTTCAAAATATCATTACTGTATCATCCATCACGTGGCTCCGGCCATGAGATTTTGTTTCTTGGACAATAAAGCTTGATTTGATTCGATTCGATGTTCATGTCCATAGACGGAGCCCGATTACAACGGTGGCGCCCCCATCCTCGACTACGAGGTCGAAATGACTCCGCCCAACGGCCCCAGCACGCCCATCCAGAAAAGCAAGGACACCGAGTGCACCGTGACCACGCTCGAGCCAGGCCGCGACTACGCCTTCTCGGTGCGCGCCGTCAACCGGATTGGCCCAGGGGCGTGGTCGGAGCCCCTCCCCGTCACGAGTGGCGCCGCCCCGCCCTGCGCGCCCGCCCTGCCGCGGCTGCTGTGCAGAAGCGCGACGCACGTGTACGTCGAGTGGGCGGAGCCGAAAAGCAACGGGGCGGCCGTAAGCGAGTATCGGGTGGAGATGAGCCGGCACGCAGAGGAGGAGGAGGAGTTTAGCGGGGTGTATCAGGGGGCGCAGGCTAGCTGCGACGTCAAGGGGTTGGCGCCCTTCCATTCGTACTACTTCAGGGTGAGTACAAGTGGGCACTTTTCTCCAAGTGATGGTTTTCATTTTCACGGAAATCTCGAATTCAAGCCGTGGTCAGAGAAAGGCAACACCGCATTACAGTGATTTGGAAGTCCTACTCTCGACGGGGGACATTGGAACATTGGTACATTCCAGCTAATTGCACTACTGTCTGGCTTTGGAATATTGGAACTTGAAAAAAATAGTAGGAAATAGTAGTAATATTGAAATGTATTTGAACAGTCACAAATCCAATTCTCATATTTTATATTCCTACATATTCTGTCTTCAAAATTTAGTCGCTGAGTTGGAAGCTAACCAACTGTGGAATTCCTAATTTGAATGAGATGTTTTCTTGTATTCAACGGTCTGAATTTTCGGTTTTCAGTTCAATTCTTAGTTGAAAAATCTATGTAATCATTTCCGCTAGACCGCAAGTGTGATACATTTGAAAAGCGAATGTTGATGCCCGTTACGCTTCAAGGTTTCAACTTTTTCAGAAAATTGTATCCTTCGCCAAATTGAAATTGACCTGTCCGAACGGTTTCTTATTGATTGAAACACAACGGAGAAAACTTAGGTGGATCGTCTTCGATGGGCCACCCGGTATATTTCAACGAAATCCGGACAAATTGTAGAACATTGAGATGTAGTACAATTTTTAATAGATAATTTTTCATCTTTAGGGAACATGTGAACATATTTCCTTTCCGAGAAGTCATTTATATGATTTATCAATATCCTGTTACACAACAACGATACCGCATTTTCTCATGAGGAACATAAAAATTACTTATTGACTTCTGAAAAATGTGAAAATAATAAAACACACAAACACAATTCGAAGACTATACTTTTGGTGGACTTCGCACACACTTTCACTGATAACTCGATCACCATAGATTATCCCTTACACTTTTCACTGGCTTTCAACAATATTTCATATCAACAAATCAATTCACTTTTGAAAACTAAACAAAAATTAATTGCGTTCATATCGTGTATGTGCATTATAGCCGGCAAGAGACTTTCGGACAGTGTCGCCAGTGTGGTTCAGCACGGCTCCATAATAACGAGAACTGTAAAATTCCGTATCGTTCCAGGTTCAAGCCGGCAACAGCGCCGGACTCAGCCCCTACTCCCCGGTAGCGGGCACCGTCACGCCCGCTGCTCCGCCCTCCGCCGTCGCCTCCGTCAAGACGGAGGCCACGCCTACCTCGATCGCGCTCTCATGGGCCACGCCCTCCGAAAACGGCAGTCCCATCACGCACTACAACATCGAGCTGTCCGACAGGACGATATCGACGCAGGCGCCGACGACGGAGTATGTGATCGAAGGGCTGCAGCCTGATACTGTTTATAAGGTCAAGATTCAGGCGGTGAACATGGTGGCAGCGGGACCGTTTTCCGGGTCGATGAGGGTGTCGACGTTGAGGTTGCCACCTGTTGCTCCAAGGTATGTGACACAGTATACGCCCTTACGGAAAACAGTAATTTCTGTCAGCACTTTTTGTGTTCTGAAAATCGCAGAACGCATGTCTACTCGTGCCTAGTTTGCGCAGTTGCTCAGCTAGCAGGGCAGGTGCAGGTGTTCTGTTTACACTTCTTTGACTTTTTGATCTATATGCCTTCATGATTGCTGGTATAATTATTGTGCTCCATGAACTTTATATGTGAGGTCACTGATTTCTCACAGCTTCTGGTGATGCGTTTCACAGTTCATCGAGCTGTTTATCATTAGTAGATAGGTAATGGCTTTCTACTGTTTTATTTGTAGCACAAATAGTAAATCTTCAGATAAAAAAGAATATCCACAGCCATCTATGATCTGTTTGTTATCCATCAATATTATTTATTCGTTTTCGTAGTATAAACACAATGTGTGTTTCTTACGAGTGGTATAGGGGTAAGTGCGTAGACAGGCTATTCAATTATTTGAAGCCGGACCCGTTCACATAAATTCATGGACTTCACAATCCTCAGTGATGATGAGAAAGTCGTCACTGGCTTGTCATTGGCTCGATCAAGCCCAGAACGCGCCAGTCTGTGCGTGGTCGTATGCGCACTTGTGTGGCAAAAAATTAAACTCGTAGACACCAACATCAAACGTTCCGACACTTGGTAAAATTACTGTTTTTCGTAAGGTTGAATACTGTGTATATAATAAGATAGAGGAAATGTGGAAGGAAAGATGGAAGGAGGGAGAAGAAGAAAGAGTTTGTGGGAGAGGAATATATTGTGAGAGAGAAAGAAACAGTGAGAGAGCGGAAGAAAGAGTGAGAGAGAAAGAAATGATGAGTGAGAAATAGGGAGAGAAAGACTGGGGAGAAAGACAGACAGATAGAAAGTGTCGAAGCTCTGTCACAGATAGGAAATTAGACGCGCAAAAAATAAGACATTGACATGCACAAAAAGTAACAGAGGGACAAATAAAGGCACAAATAGGGACAAAGGGACACACAAATACCAAGAAGAAACACAAACAGGAACTGAGACATACACAAAGAATAACATTCATAGACAAAGAGGAACAAAGAATCTCACAAAGTGGAAGAAGAGTGGGAGGGAAGAAAAATAGATAACATATATTATAATAATTTTCATGATGTATATTTTTTCTTCTTTAGGACTGCGGTATATGACGATTGTGAATATTTCGATGTTTTACAGATTGGAATGTCTAGCGACCGCCCACAACTACATCAAACTGAAATGGGGAGAAGGCAAGAACACCGAGTACACCCAGTACTGCGTTGAGATGGAGAACCCTCGATCTCGGGAATACCAATGCGTCTATAAAGGCACTGCCTTGACCTGCAAGGTAACTCATCATAACAATAAATATCCGTATGTTTCCTCTAGCTATCAAATTGTATTTCTGACCATCTAAAGTTTGTCATGTTGCAGATAAAATAGCTTTTTTCCTTCAAATTGAAAGTGACTTTGGCTCACCTATTTTGCTTGTCCAATGAAGTGTCATTTTAACTCTCAATAACACCATTCAATTTACTATATTCGTTGAACAAGATTTATGAAGCAGGAATGAAAAATGAACATGATGGAATATCGATCGCATCATTGACTACAATTCGGAACTAATATAAGTATTTTCCAAATGCATGTTAGCATCAGAATATTAATCATGTTTAGTGACTTTATTGTTCGGCAATGCAAATTGAGTGTTAGCAATATTTTCCCACGGTTCTGACAACTAGAACTTAGAGCGAGCAGAAGTTTGAAGGCTCGACAAAAGTTGGCTCTTGAAATTCTCACGCAAAACACGCTCAGTGCCGAAAAAGTCCGAGCAAGTGTGACAAGTGGAAACCGCTATTTGTCAATTCGAAACCAATAACGGTTGAACTTTCTCAAGGTCAACAAACTGCACGAACAGACGTCGTACAAGTTCCGGATAAACGCGTCCAGCGACGCCGGCACTGGCTCTTTCTCGGCGTTCTACGAGTTTGCTACCGCGACCGCCCCACCGGCGGCAGTCAAGGCGCCCAAGCTGGTCGAGGTGGAGCAGAGAAGCTGCAGCGTGGAATGGCTGCCCGCCAAGAACCCGTTCGCCGATGCGGTGGTCTACCAAGTGCAGCTCGCCAAGGCGAAGGAGCAGGTCTTCAGACAGGCGAGTGTCATCTCCTATACTTCTTCCAATAAATGCTCTAATAATAAACGTGTGAAGCAGCCCATACTGCTCTAATAATAACCATGTGTACTTTATGACGGACACTCTGGGGTGCGTTCGATTATTGACTCTGAGAGTAGAGTAAGTATAGTTGATGGTGTCATTCAAAGAGAGGTCGCGTGCACGATGACCGACCCTGGAGGTAAAACACAACCTCACTTTTCTGTAAAACATTGAAACACAACCTCACTTTTTTTATTTGTTCACAGAGGAATCAAAGGATTGGAATAGTTTTTCACCACATTTTGGCATTCGAATCGTATTCTTTGCGCTATTCATTAATTCAAGCATGCCTTCTCATTGTACTGTTGTACAATGCACAAAAAATGCAGCGAAGACGAATCTCACATAGTTTTCATTATGCAATTTTGTCATTTCTTATTGAAATTACTTCTGCCACTTCTGCAATAGAAGCTAATACTGCTAGAAGATTGAAAATGTCTACAACACACGCTCAATTTTCAAATGGTAAACAAATAATAAGACAAAAAGTTACATTGGAAATAAAATTTAGGGATTGCGTTTTCCACCCCTTACAACCATGGGGTGAACCCAATAAATTACTGGCTAAGTGTATTTTGGTAGTAGAAAATGTCAGGTTAATTTCAATTCTGTAACTTTCTTAGTGCTTGTGAAAAAAATTCTATCCTATCCTATCTTTTTTCGATGAGGAATCACCTCATTAAATGTTTTACACTTATTTAGTTACACCCTGTTTTTGATTGTTCGACGTCAACTTGCCTACTAAATTTTGTATAGTATAATCGGCGGAACTAATGTCGTTATGGCTGTTCAAACAATTTATTTTATTAAATTAGAAAAAAATATTGTACGTAACTAGCTAGGAAACGCATTTTGATTTCTTGTTTGTGGTTACGCGAATTTCGATTCTACGATTCTCTTCCAGGTCTACAAGACCTCGGAATGCAAGTGCACCATCGACGACCTGGACCCCGGCACAGACTACGTCACGCGCGTCTGCCCCGCACGCCTGACACCGACCACGCCCACCGGCGAGCTGCCCGGCCCCTGCTCGCCCGCCCTCAGCTTTGCCACGCCCCCGGCCGAGTCGGCATTGGTTGGCAAGGCCACGCCTACCGTACAGTCGTCTCCCCATCCCCACCATGCCGTCAGGCACCGCTCTCTCTATCATTCCGTGTGGCAGGCGACCAGGTGGCCCGAGGAGTACTGCATCTACGTCTACGCCGTGTCGGTGCTGGTGCTGGGCATCGTCTTGTCGTTGGGGATAGCGTCGTTTCTGTAAGTGACAGGTCGGGGGGCGGTTTCCTTTGTTCGGTTCGCGCGACTGATGGGGATTTTGCACTTGTCATGCGATAGTTTGGTTTTTTCGAAAATGGGTTTGTTACTGTCGTATTTTCGCCTGAAAAATACGAATTTAGTCATGAGATTGTGTACCAACCATTAGTTATCGAGATATTTCACGAAAAAGTTCGAAATTCCACCTTCTTTTCTCGCATTTACAGCTACTTGCCCTTCCTATCATTGTCATTTGGACATTGTAGTCATTTTTCTCGAACCTAACCAGACAAACGAGGTTAACTTCATTATGACGTCACGGTTTACTTGTGGAGCTTGACAGATGTCAGTTTACCAGCTGTGTTTGTTTATTTTTTGGTTTTAGTGGTAATACTAATATGATGAATATGAAATTCAATATCTGTAACAAAAATATATCATGAATAGGAACTAGGAACTTACCATCTTCAAATTCAAGAAAATTTGAACAATTTGCTATGTACTCATTTACGATGATTCAAATATTTATTTTCACAATAATATGATGGAATCTCGCATTGAAAAATACTTCTTATGAATACATAATTGTCTCGTAGTAATATTTTTTCTTAACAATTATAACCTCAGAGTATTACAACAGCAGGAGCCCAATCCAGTGCCCATCAAAAGCCATAACAACTCCGTAAACTACCTCAGTGAGCAGGTTTGTGTGGTTGGTTTACTATAACATCATAGTTTGGAATACACTCCGAGGAAAATTAATGTTTTACCCGGTTTGTGTGGCTAACTTCGAGAAAACATTGCTTTATGTATTTCAATGACTCATTATTCATGAAAGTCATCAAAAAATATAATTGAGGTCATTCTATTTGTAAATTTGTCAATTATCAAATACGTGATTGCTTTTGAATGACGTTACACCCGTCATCATTTCAGATGATATTATCCCTTCTTAGAGTAAATTGAAGATATCTTATTTACCGACGGTGATAGTGAATTCTTGCATATTTGACATGCAGCGTATGTCTTTGATAATTGAATGGCCGTCAGCTGGTGTGATTGTTCACAAAATATGGAAAATTAAAAGAAAAATTATATTCCTAGTCATATTCGAATGTGTCATTGAAGTACATTTATACGTATATGGTAGCCCAACGAAAACTTTACAACCCGATTGTAGGGCTTTGAAATGAAAATCGGAAAAACGCTGGAACCCGTCAATTTCTGATTCGTGGGGAATACAACTTGTCTACTGTCTTCATCCCCGTAATTTCAAACCTCTACCAGGAGGAGCCACAACCCCCGGATTTTTAATAGGGATGTGGTGTTGGGATTCCTCATTTTTCAGATTGTAATTTCGCGTCAAAATTTTCATCGTTAACGGAATGAGAGATAAAATAGTGGAAGAGGCAATGTCGAAAATATTATTCTTAATAGAGTAGGATTCGAAAAGTATTGATTTATTTGATATTTCTTGTCACAAAAAGTTTGTGGACGCACTATCTGTTCGATTTACCTCAGCTCATAACCATGTCAAATCTATTGTCAAATATTCACGATGATCTAAGGCAAATCTAACAGATAGTGTGTCATCAAACTTTTTGGATAAAGAATTTTTCAATCATTATTCAAACGGGAATAATATTTTTAGAAGTAAATTCGTCATTGCCTCTTCCATTATTTTATCTATCATTTCATTTTGACGCAAAATTAAAGAGTCGGATAGTACTCCATGAAATCTTCAAAATGAGGTATCGCAACATCCCCAATCCCTATTCAAATTTCGGGGTTTTAGCTTTCTCCCTTGTAGGGGGTTTCAGTTACGGGGATGAAGAAAGCAGACAATTCGTTCCCCCTGGAATCAGGAATCCGGATTTTCATTTTTAAGCCCTAAAATCCGGGGATGAAGCTTTCCTTGTGATGTATCCAATAATGAATAAAAAGGGCAAATCGTTGTTAATGTGTATCCAAGATAAGCGAAAAAAGATGCTGGAGTTTCGAACTATATCGTGTAAAATCCCGGTAAATAGGAGTTGGTTCAGGTTTTCATTATGGAATTCGTGTTTTGCAGACAAAAATTCGTAAGTGACAAACACATTTTTTGAAAAAAAAACATCACATGATAAGTGCAAAATTACCCCCAACTGATTATTGAGGAATTGAAGGCTGATTTGCGATGGGGTTTGAGGATGTTGTCGAAGAAGGGAAGGGCCCGCGGACATCGATTATTTTAGGAACCTCAATGTGAATTCGTGGGCCGGACTAGGCTCGCAAGTACTGCTAGGGTATTGGACGTAGGGACCAGAGATGGAGAATCGGGATTCCATATAGAAACTCGCTACTGTCTTATATACCTTTATGATTTTTACATAATTTTGAGATTAGTACATCAAAACCCACGTTTATGAAATCCAAGGCGCTGCCCTATTGGACGCGCCCATCGTATGTGACTTGATTACCCAGTCACGCTCCGGGCGTCCCGAGGTGTCGTATACAGGCAATATCTCGCTTATTTGACAAGATAGTTGAAAAATTCAAAAACTTCATTGAATGGCAATGAAGTAACTTCCTAATGACATATAAAGAAATCCATTATAGTTTACAGTTCTCTGGCAGCTACCCACCACATTTAATTTTCAAATGGCATCCCCTATATATTGTCATTGGAAATTACGGGTCACATTTTTTGACTTGTTTCAAGTTACTCAATTATCGAATACTATCTGTTGGTTAATCGATGAGGTTTTTTGGGATTTTCTCTCGTCTCTATGAAATAAATATTTGAATACTATTTCAATATACATGTAGTCACTCCGTTTGAAGAATTCTCCTATCAGAGAGCCTAAAAGAAAAATTAACTAGCTTGTCAGTGACAATTTGTATTGAAGAAGGTTTGGGTAAGAGAAATATAGGTATATTGAAAAAAAATCAAATTTTCTCTTTTCCAAACCTTTTTCAATACAAATTGTCATTGTGATATGACCAAGGAGCACAAACAAAAACAGATGTGAACCAATGAAAAGAAAGTAAGCATGCCGCTTTGACAGCTTCCAAAAACTCCGATAGGTGGCGTACGCTTATTTTCTATCGCGAATTCATATTTTTATTTTATAGAGACAAGGAGAGAAAATCCCCAAAAAAAAATCTGAAATAATTACTCAATTATCCTTATAAAAATGAAATATTGTCTCTGCTCATGTTTTTTGTTTAAACAAGCCGATGCTTCTCATGTCATAATAATGTTGAACACTTGCTGAGATTTTTAGTTCATTTTTTGATTCAGATAAAAGCTATTTCAGTTGAAATTCATACTTCATTGGATGTTGCTGTTTTTGTTACAATAATGAAAAAATACCAAGTATATGCTATCGTTGTATTCCTCATCGGATGGCACGCAATTTTCAATGACAATATACAGGGGGTGCCATTTGAAAATAAAAAGTGGGAGATAACTGCCAGAGAACTGGCGAATGTAATAGATTTTTTTATATGTAATGAGGAAGGTACTTCATTGCCATTCAATGCAGTTTCTGAATTTTTCAATTATCTTGTCAAATAAGCGAGAAATTGCCTGTATACGATAACTTGGGACAACCGGTATATGTCCCAATGGCATGTAAGTACATTGTATTTTATCGAACGGTACCTGTGCCAATCACTATCCTGAGCGAAATAATGACAAAATTGCACTTTCCTGTGCGGTAATTTGCATAACCTATTAATCTGAGGCGAAATATACCATTAAGTATTTCGGACATACTCATTAAAACAAAAAGCAGATAAAAGGGGATAATATCCGTCAAAATATTCTCTGAACTATTGACGCTCTGCCACTAACTTAGATCAGTTTGAATTATTATTTTTGTTTTGTGTTTCAATTCCTTATAATGGCAGCAAATGAATGAATCGCTGAACCGTGGATTTTACTAAGATTAAGGGGTTGCACGGGTAGGTTATTCAAATCTACGAATCAATTCATATCGGATGGCATAATTCCTATCTCGTTTTCGAATCACAAAATTGAGTGACAATTACCGCACAGGAAAGTGTCATTTTTCAATTATCTTGCTCAGGAAAGTAATTGGCACAGGTGCCTTTCAATATAATACTATATTTTTACATGTCTTTGGAGCATAAAACATTTCGTTATCGGTCGTTGTTTGCTGCTGGCTCTCCCACTATATGCTATTTGAAAGTTTCCTTGTTTACACTGCATTTTTTGATGTCCATTACTTGAGTATTTCAATTCAATTATTGTGTTAACTGTGATTTTTCAAATCTCGTAATTTCCTGTGGGTTATTGTCTGTTGATTGTAATTTGGTTGTTTGATGTTATATTAATATTAATGATTTAAGAGGCTTGGCATTGATCGAATATATTCTATTTAAATGATCATTGTGAAGTTTCTGTATATTTAAAAATAGGTTTATTATATATTTTCGATTTTCTATTCTCCACCTCTAGTTCCGACGCATTTCCTAAGTATTAATAAACAGGGCTTTTAATTATGAAATTTAATTATGAATTGATTGAATTAGAGGACCAAAGCGTAATGTTTTGGTATTTTTATACGTGTTTCCGTACTTGGTGTGGTGCTATAACATCAGCGATATAGAGTTCGGAGGTCTCAAGGTCATTCTCTCGTTTGAGACTTGATTTTCTAGATTGATTGCCATTTTGCCTTAATTGAACGAGGTGGGGGTTTTTTGCACAAAAAACTTCAGATCATTCTAGCATAATTGAATAATATTGAATTTTAGAGCGTTGAATTGGTCAATGTTGAATTAATTGGGTATACAAGGTGATTCACTTGGACCCTGCATCAGCCGTTCAACTTTTAATTCGGTATAGAACTGTGATAGATCATGATGCGCATTATTCAGAATTATTTTCTTTTCTATCGCTATACACTGAGTTCTGAAAATCACTCCTAATTTTCTTGCTTGAAATTCTAAATTGAAATGTTCAACATTCATAGTTGTTTAAACGGGTACAGTGATAAAAAAAGTTGATGCTGTGTCACCTGAAACATGCAAGCAATAGTAGCCAATAAAAGAATTATTTCTTGTGGAATGACAGTTCCCTGATTATTGCTGCATGAATACAAATTTGTCTCCCACAACTCGCAACTTCAGACTTGAAACTTGAGACTTTGAGCTTACAACTTCAACTGCTGCATTCATCACCACCATTTGAAGTGGTGTATCATATGCCCGTCTATAGTACCTCTTCTCGAAAAAATATACCGGATGCTCCATAAACATTCTAGTTTCAATGTTGTGAAAGATGATAGAGAAGTTCAGCAAGCTTCTCTTCAGGATTTCAACGTTAAATGATGAGGAAACCAATCTAACCCCCTTCATTTACAAAGTTAGAATGGTCTTCTTCCCTATTTATTCAAATTTGTTGTGTTATCAACATGAAATTTCCATTCCCGATCCAAACAAGTTGTTTTTATCTGGAACGCATATTTCTCCATATCATTCCATGGAAAACATGACATTACAAAATGGAAGCAACACTGATTTTTTTTTCAAAAATCCCTCACCAGCAAGGAACATGGGACAGTCAAAAAATGAATTTAGTGAATAAAAACGAATAAGTGGAGATCCTTTGAAACCAAAGTATCAACAACGAAAATATTTTTTTGTCAAAACGTTCATTTATTCATATTCAAATTTGTATCTAAATATAATATTGCTGATGATCGTGTTACCATGGATACTAATGAGTTGATTATTTAATTGGCTGTCAAAGGGTACTAGATTTTCAAGGAATTTGGGCTGAAGGACCTCAATTGAGGAGGCCAGTTGGTTTGTACATACATACCAACGAAGTTCATAGTTGCTATATACTACAACTACTGTAAATTGAATGCCATTTGGGAAAGAAATGTCATCTTGTCATATGTTATTGAAAATGAGATGGTGGTTGAAATATGGAATGTTGAATTTAACGTAACCGTCAAAATGTACGGGAGATTGCCAATAGGATGCTATAGATTTCACACTTCCAACGAAAACTAATTAAAATAATGAAAATATCGAAGTAAAATGTTGAATCAGATGTTGTTTTCTCTTATGAATGGTGCTCTCCATACTTCGTATTCCTTTTCCATATGGCATGAAATTATTTATTTTTGGAATCAGAAAAATCACTCTTTCCAGATATGCAATAGGGGTGGGTATAGGTGTATGATTTGAGAAATGAAATATTCTTCCAACCCTGTGTATTGGAGGCAAAACGTTTGGAGGGATCTTATGGAAATAGAATATACATCTGATACAAGATTTTGTTTCGAAATTTTCAATATCTTCATTCGTTTTCAAGGTATCGAGTATTGAGTCATGAAATCTATGATTAGAAAAGTCGTACTTACCAAAATAATGATACCATGTTCATGTTCTCGATAACATGGTATGATATGAATGTTCTGAAGTTTTTTGCGTCGAATAAGCCCGCCCTGTGCTTCGGAGAGTTACCTGGGACCTCTGACATATTGCTGTCTAATATCTAATTACTAGAGATGTGATGTTTTCGGGCGAGCAAATATTGTTTGTCGCTCGATCGACATGATATGGGGTGTTATTCCAGTCGAATTGTACATACGAGGATTATGTAATGCCGGTGGCTATTTTTTGAGAATTACCTAGACGAAATTTTCAAGTGATGAAGTGGCTGGAAAGTGTTGTATATACAGGGGGGATCGGTTGTTTGTTGAAATGTTTATTTTTGTCCAGATTTTATTGCGCCTATCTTTTGATACGTTTAGGAATGATATATTTTTCTCCTGCATGGTGTTTCCTGAGTCTATGCAAATCTGAACAAGTTTCTCGAAGGAATTGATTCTTCAATGAGGTTTGGAAATCGATTCGGCAGATTTTAGTAATATTTTCACAATTTGTTGATATTTCATGAAAGTATTCTTTGGGCCGGTTTCAGTTGATAGGACGGATAAGGCAACTTAATATAAAAATACAATCTTTGGTAGAAGTCCATATTGCTCAAAGTGGAGTGAAATATTTCACAGGGAGGAAGGAATGCTCGGAGATGACTTCGAGCATTCCTTCCTCCCTGTGGGATAAAAATACAAGATTTTTGGCTTCTGATTTTTTGTACGTACGTACCTCGCTTGGTTCTTAAGAAAAAAAAAATTGGTAAGCAGCAGATAAATGCTTTGATAAATATTTTGATAAAACTCAAAAGTTTATTTTATGAGTTGAGAAAAATGTTTTTAGCTTGAAACATCCTCATGGTGCTCAACCAAAAATACGTTTTGATTGCTTGGAACTTATTGAACTAATATTTCAGTTTTCCTCAGAAAATAGATTCAGATGAGCACATATTTGGTTTCTTTTGTTTTCTTCTAGAATGAAGCGAGATAAAAATTGTAATTCTAGTTTTTCATATCCCTTGGATCGCTTGAAAGGAGATCCATAATTAACAAAATACCGGGTGGCTACGGAAGTATTGCCTACGGAATATCTCAGTTATTGTATGAAGTAGGTTTGTGAGTTTGGAGCGTCGATATAATGACATAAGAGCTAGAATTTGAGCATATTGACATGTCGAAGTTAACTTCCGGTCTGACCGGAAGTAACATCAACTTTCTTATTTTAAATGGCAACCCTATTTTTTTTTCTTTTCGCTTTATTTAGCATTCAATTCCCTTTCTAATGACATATCACAAGTTGGTATCTAACCAGAAACTAGATCAGAAAAAAATTATTATTTAAATTCACCGAGTAGGCCGTGGAAGCAAAATGAATGCCAAAAAATGACTTTCTATTATATCATTAGAGAGGAATGGTTATGCTGAATAGTACAGGCAAGAAAAAGTTGTATGTTCCTATTTAAGTTATGGACATACAGAGTATTGTTTTTTTCCCAATTTTTCCAATATTTTTTTTGGCGGCTCTTAATAACGCCGACGAATGAAAATAAAATATCACAGTAGTAGCAACTGTCATCAAGTGACGTATGGTTTCCATATCCAACTTTTCAATTTTTGGCTTTCATTTTGCTTCCACGGCCTACTCGGTGAATTTCAATAATAATTTTTTTCTGATCTAGTTTTGGGTTGGATACCAGCTTGTGATATGTCATTAGAAAGGGAATTGAATGCTGAATAAAGCGAAAAGAAAAAATGATAGGGTTTCCATTTAAAATAAGAAAGTGGATGTTACTTCCGGTCAGACCGGAAGTTGACTTCGACATATCAATATGCTCAAATTCTAGCTCTTATGTCATTATATCGACGCTCTAAATTTCACAAACCTACTTCATACAATAACTGAGATATTCCGTAGCCACCCGGTTAGTGGCGAAAAATCTACGAAGTGCTGTTTTTTCATCTACATAAAACTCTCCGATCTTCTTCCCTGGAGATATCAAATGATTGTGAAAATTTCACTGAAATTTGCCGAAACATAAGACAGTTGTTATTAATGAACCAATAAGATTTACGGACATTGAATATTTATAAGAACTTGTCTTCATATAATTTCCAGCATTTTCTTTCTCAGACTCAGGAAACACCCTGTTTGTTATTTTCTTGTTTTTCCCTATATTTTTTTAGATGTTCTTGATTATAAAATTATTTATTGTTCGTCTTAGCAGGTGTTGTATTTATACTGGGTAACTAAAACGGTACTATAATTTCGTTATTTGTTCATTTCATGCTGAAAATATGCAATGGGATGAGAAACAGATTGAAATGTTGAGATTTTCTCGAATTTCTATTTTTTTAATACTGCTCTGCTAGTCACAGTGTCTTCCTGTCGCCTTTTTCGTCGGTTCATGACATAGCTCGATTGATATGTAGCACAAAAGTCGATAATCAAAAATATAACGGTAGTCACAGGATTTTGATGATGGCCTATGGGAACCACATAGGTACTGATTTTTCAGTGGTTGGGCTTATCTAATTGGACCTAATCTGTAAATCAACACTCAGTGTATGTTTACAAAACTACCCAAATCATAACTAAGGCGTACTTGTCAAAAGCAAATGACATTCTGATATGTGTCCATAAGGGATGAATAGAAAAAATATTTAGGATATTTTGAAAAGTCAATATTGGGTCATTACCAGTCTCAGAGGAAATTCGTAGAATTTTTCAATTGGCTGTTAACGATCACCCTGTATATAGGAATTTATATGTTAATGAAAACTGTATATGTTGAGAAATATTCATTAAATTATATAAAAATCTAATGTTAATCTATTATGATCTAATCAATTTTAAGTTGGCTATAATGGGATGTGTAATCGTGCACTTTGCACTATATATGAGAGAGTTATTATTATTATTATTATTATAGGTAAATATACATTATATAAAAGAATCAATTATATTTTATCTACTAGAACAATGTTGTTTCATTTGAGATCGACCATTATCAATCATTGTCTATCTTGAAACTTCTGACTCTGGTCATAGTGACTAAAAAGGAAATATCTAATATATCCATGTTTCGACCATTCAAATGGCCATCACCAGTCAACAACAGTGGAAAAGTGTAGCATGAAAAGCATTTGGACATTTATTGGTTGATATTCAATTTTCATGTTATATTTCAGCTCACATATATATATTTCGCTTCTTATACAAGAAGATTCAGTCGCAAGTTACATATTGAAAGGCTTGTAGACTGAATTGAATGTGAAGAAAGTTCAAACAAACGTTTTTCTGAACATTTATTTTTACCGTAAATGGATGGTTGGTAAATGATAATATATCCCTGTCCAAAAACGCCATTATTATAAAAATTTCTGCAGCACTTTCATGAACAATGTTGAGATGATTGTCCAATAATAATTATGATTTGAGCAAGTCCAATCATTTTGGTCATCATCATTGTCCTAAAGAAAAATCACATCAAGGGGTACTCATTTTTAATATTTTCAATTGATTAAATTCGTGGACAATATTAAACAATCAAATGCAGATGTATAGTAAAACATAATACAACTATATACAAAATTACAGTCATAGTGAGTGCAAATACCTGAGACATGAAATCAACTTAATTACATTGTGAGTAAGTAAGCAGGAAGTAGTTAGAAATTGACAGACTATATTCTACATGGTGACAAAAATATAGAGATGTTCGGATATTTGTACTCACGAGTAAGAGCGTCAGTCTCTCGATAGTCTATCAGAGAGAGGCTGCAAGTTGGTATTTCATTTTTTTATAAACTGTGTTGGGGCAGTTGAAGTTGATTTTCTCTGAGGTATGAGGCTGAATGAACAAGTGCAAAAAATGCTAGACCTCTCCACCTCATTATCTGTCCTTGATATGTCATATCATGCGAATGTAATTAATAGAAGTCAAGTGGGGAAAGGAAACATTAGTTAACAAAATGGTTTGAAGAAATAGAGAACTGTTGAAAGGTTACAATATAAATAAAGGTGTTATATAGAATAGTCATATTCATGTAAATTGGAAACAAATAGAAAGAACATGCACAAGAAGTTGCTATAAACAAGCGAAGAAATGAAATATCAAGATGCTATAGTGATATTCTTGGAAATATTAGTGGGATGCAGTCTGGACCAATGAATTAATTAGATTTCTTCGTTATTTGTCGAGCTTTCGAAAATTTTTATTTTCTTTATCAAGACTAAAAACATGAAATTCTATATAAAATTAGCACAAAAAGGAAACATAGGTGTATAAATAAAATGAAATGATTTGACAAAAAAATGTCAAATCATTTCATTTTATTTATACCCCTATGTTTCCTTTTTGTGCTAATTTTATATAGAATTATGTTTTTAGTCTTGATAAAGAAAATAAAAATTTTCGAAAGCTCGACAAATACGAAGAAATCTAATTAATTCATTGGTCCAGACTGCATCCCACTAATATTTCCAAGAATATTATTATAGAACAGTCACGAAAGCTTCCCCTTGATGCTATAGTGTATAGAGAAAGATTATATTATAACTAATGGCATAAATAAGTTTTGTTAGAGAGTGCCAAATTATGTTAGCATAACACCAAAAAAGTTTCAAGAGAGTGAAATGTCGTTTAGGAGACAAGTTCGCAATTTTATAAAATCTCATCACATTATTAGACTGACAGATATTTGATTACTTCAAGAGAATGATAAAGCGGCCTGCAACGCATGAGTATTCCTGTTAAAAACTTAAAATTTCACGTCGATAATTTTCTGATTTTAAAGTAATGTAATATCTTCTCAATATTGACTGAGATAATTCAAGCTGGAGCTAAATTCTACTACTTTCCATCCCTTGTATAATGAATATCTATTTATTTATAGTCGAGGATAGACAATCCCAGAAAATCAAAACAAATGCCTAAGTGTTATTGATAAATAATAGAATTGAATGCGAAAATGTTCAACCACACTCATACATGCAATTCTAAACATATTTTGGTCTTTCTAAAACTCTTCTGGAATAATTTTTCACGAATTTCTTGAATTGGTGCTTTATATCAACAGAATACTGGCTTGGAAAAAATTTGTTTCGAATGAGATGATCTAAATTTCAGTCGATAATAATAAATGAATGATTTATATTTTTGAATTCAGATTGACGAGCTTCATCGAATTATGAGATAAAGTTTGTTTTAGCCGTATTTTGTTGATGTAAAGAAAAAGTGAGCACCGATTCGAAAAAGTTTTTGAATAACCAATAAAATATGTTGAGAATTACGAGGATGAAGGGGCGGGGGACACATTTAAGCATGCATAGACATATAGGTATAATAAGAAGAGGAAAAAAACTCAAGACTGAAAGAAGAGTTAATAACAATTATTTAGGAAATAAAGAAACAAAATAGCACAGAAGTTCTACAACAGTAAGAGAGTAAATTTTACATAGGGTATAAAAAAAGCGGAAATGATTATTCCATCACAGAAATAATAGGTGTATCACAATGGAGTTGACCTCAACTCCCTCAACACCAGAAATTCGTCTTACGCACCATTGGCTGAATGCTATCAATAGTAGCCAAAGCTGATATCGTGCAGTGGAGCTGCACCGTCATTTGGTAGAGCATAGTCCTTGCTCAGCTGGTCCAATATGCCACCACGACCTGACGCCTGAGGTATCTAACAAAAAAAATTATTATTATTATCATGAACATTATTTTTTTGATGACCAAAAAAAATCACAAAGGTTGCTTTATATCTGTAGCAGGATGATTTTTAAATACCTACGCACATAAATTTGGGGAAAAAATTGCTCAATGGGTTCTAGAGTGCATCAATGCTTTCAATTTCATTAGAAAAAATCTGAATGGCTTTAAGTAGGGTCCCTTGATGGACATTGACGTTAAAGTCATCTTTACAAGGTACGGACAGATCATAGCTGCTGCTGCATTCTTTTTTATTGATCTAGAGACTTTAGTTTTGTCTACTGGCATCCCTGACACTAACACGTCACATCACAAATCAATTCTGAAACGAAATTAGTGAGTATAGGTGTTCCGCAAGGGTTTTTAAATTTATATATGAATGGTGTAGCTCAAACTATTTATATTTGAATGTCTCTAAAACACAAATCGTGAAATTCCACAACTGGCAAAAAACATGTCTACCTTAACCGTCCGCATCAACGATGTATCAATAAACAATACTAATGAAACAAAATTCCTGGGCCCTGGGCCTGATCATTGATGAAAATATCAACTGGAAAAATCATTGCGTATACTTATGCAAGAGACTGAACTCTTTGTGTTATTCGTTCAGAAATCTCAAACAAGTCTTACAGGAGCCTCAACTGTTATCCTTGTACCACTCTCAGGTAGCGTCAAGAATTAGATCTGGTATATGTTTGTGGGCAACTCAACTTCTATTCATGATATTTTCATTTTGCGAAAAAGAATATTGAGAGTAGTGTGGCAGGCGTTCCTTCAACCAACTCTTGTAGAGTATTGCTTGTCAAATATAATGTTCTGACAATATTTTCTTTATATATTTATGAATTATGCAACTACATTTTTAAGAACAAAACTAAATTTCCTCTGAATAAATACTCAAAAGACATGTAGGTGGCGCCACCCCCACGAAAGAGACAAACTAACATAAAATTTGAATTTGTCATTGAAAAATACCCCTAGATACCAAATTTTATTCCAATATCACAAATATTTTGAAATTCAAAAACAAAAATAAGAATTAAACTTTGACACTGTATCTCAGAAACGCATAACTTTCAGACATATATTATGTTCATACGAACTTTTCTTCTTATTTTGACGTCAGCAACATGCTCCTGAATTTCCTACGCGTACTTAAGAAACACCCTGTATAACCTGAAAATTTGTTGTTTCATTCATTTCGTCAGGAAGGAATTGAAAAAATCAAATTTGAATTTAATGCGAGACCTCCTTCCTCCTCCCTAAATTCGCCACTGTGTTTCATTTAAAAATCAAAAGTTGGGGTCGTCTCTGGTGAAACCGGAAGGAATGAATCAAAAATGTTTGGACGATAAATAAGCAATTTGGTATAGTTGCCACCCACCAAATTTCAAAATCCGATTTCGAATGATACAGAAGATACAGCACTAGCCGTTTCTTGTGCATTTCTCTGTCATAAAGACCTGATACAGGGTGTATAGAATGCTTTGCCAATACTCACCGACGGCAGAGGCCTAGGGGCAGCCGGCCTGGGAGCCGGCGCGTACTGCGGCGCGGGCCTCGGTGCGTACTGCTGTGGGGCGGGCTGAGCGTACGTCATTCTCGGGGCGGGCCTCTGCTCGTAGCTGCCGTCATCGTCGAAGCCGAATTGGGCTGGGGCGGGCCTTGGCCTGGGGGCGGGCGCAAACGACCTGGCAGGGGCAGGGTGGGCCGGCGGGCCGAAGTCGAAGTGTTGGACGTCGGCGGGAGCGGGGGCAGGGGCGGCGCCTGGAAAACGGGCGAATAATTGCAGGAGAAAACCAACATATTTGCGCATTTATTTGCTGGAAATTCCACTCCAAACATAACGCCAATTGACAGTCATATACCCGAGATCACCTTTCGCCAACGTACTATAAGGAAGATTTCATGGGTCTCAACACCAACAAAGCTTATGGCCGACGGAATTCCACCGATTGTTCTCAAGAAATGTGCTCCCGAACTGTTCTCTATAGAAGTTGTTCAACTACTCTTACAAATTGGGGATATTCCCGTCCAACTGGAAAATTGCAAGAGTACAACCAGTTCCTAAAAAAGGCAAAAAGAATCGACCTAGCAACTACAGACCGATCGCACTGCTATCTATTATTTCAAAGATCATGGAGGAAGCTATCAATATCGAGCTCATGAAATACCTGGAACATTCAGGTATTATCAACGATAGGCAATATGGCTTCCGTCATCAGAGATCCACTGGGTGACCTGCTCGCTTACGTCTCACATATATGGCAGCAATCTATTGAAAAATATGGTGAAACCTTAGCCGTGGCACTTGATATCTCCAAGGCATTCGATCGAGTCTGGCACCACGGACTCCTCGCCAATAAGCTTCCATCTTATGGCTTGCCTCCCCAGCTATGTTCTCTGCTAGCTAGTTCTCTCTCAAACAGGTCTCTCCATGTAGTGGTCGACAGAGTATCATCTGACTCTCTTATCATAAATGCTGGTGTTCCGCAAGGATCAATTCTAGCACCAACACTATTTCTACTTCATATCAACGATTTGTTGGAAGCAACTTCATGTCCAGTACACAGCTTCGCTGATGATAGTACCCTCCATACCGCCTTCTCTTCCAGGGCCCCAATACCAGCCAGGCAAATCAGAAACGAACGAGGGAGAAATGTTGACAACATAAATATGGACTTAACAACAACTCTTGAATGTGGATCCAATAACTTGGTAGAATTCAATGCAAACAAAACACATGCATGCCGCCTTCTCTCTAGAAAAGCCTATCTCACTATGCCCAAACATTACCTTTGAAGACATTCATTTCAATGCTTGCTATTACTATCAGCAATATCTTTTCTTGGGAAAATCACATGAGATCAATTGCTAAAAGTGCATCCCAAAAACTTGATTTTTTGTTTCGGGCCAGGAGCTATTTCACTTCCAGTCAGCTGCTTATGATCTATAAGGCACAGATCTGACCTGTACTGGAATACTGTTCCCATATTTGGAATGCAGCACCCAAGATACCTTGAAACTGTTGGATTCTGTTCAGAAAAGGGCAATTCGTCTCGTGGGTGATGCATCGCTCACGAACTCACTCACTTCTCTGGAACACCGTAGAAAAGTTGGCGATCTGGCTCTATTTTATAGATATTTTCAAAGGACGATGCTCTTCTGGAATATCAACAATTGTTCCTCCCTTGGCAGTCCCCGCGAGATTAACCCGTCGAGTTGAGGCTTCGCACCCCCTTCGTGGTCACTTTGGGGACCTGCAGAACATGTCTTTCCAAAGACTCGTTCATCCAACGAACAGCGAGGCTCTGGAATACATTGCCAAGGTAGGTGTTCCTCGAGGCATATAACCTCCAGAAACTCAAGAAGAACACCAATTCCTACTTTATTTCCCTTGGTTCTAACGATGTTCTCTGAACATTACAGGATATCACTTTTCGTGGGAACCAGAACATAAAAAAAATAGTGCAAATTTCTTTCATCACATGGGAAAAGACGATTCGGAGCAACTGATTACATTTCAATAAAAAAAAATGAATCCACGCATCTGAGTTCGTTCCCACCTGGAATCTGCGCCCTTGGAGGCGCTGGCGCAGGCTCGAACTGCTGCGGCGGCGAGAAGGCCTCGAAGCTCTGCTGCGGCTGGGGCTGCGGCCGAGGCCTCACGGGCCTCGCGGGCCTCACCGGGGCTTGGGGCTCGTAGTACTGCCCGTCCTGCTGCTGGCCATCTCTGGCGCTCTCGTCCACCAGCGTCGGCGGCGGGACGGTGATGCCCTCGCCAGAGGGATCGAAGCCATGTTTGTCTGCACCGTATTCAACCACGCGCACCTGGAATATAACCAGTGTCAGGATGTCTACTATACAGGATGGTCCAGCATATGTGGGCAATCACTGTCAGCTAGAGTTCCTAAATGTACTTGAGACACTATACGTTTTCAACTTCAATTTCGGAATCGGTAAGTTTCAGTTTGGAGAAGGTGAACTTGATTTCAGAATTAGTTATAGTTCGATTTCAGGAATGGTGAACTCAATTTCAGAATCGGTGAAATGGAATTCAGGAAAAGTCCATTCAATTTCAGATATGGTAAGTTGTATTACAGAAAATAAATTCTCATATTTGTTTGACATATTTCAAGTTGCATGTGGAAAGAAAAATCCATGTTTGGTAGATTCAAATTTTTAAAAACCATTAAATTACATAAACTCAACTTAATCTTCAAATAATCTATACAGACATGTCTTCCATTCGAATCGCAGAAGGATAGTTGAGTTGCACATGATTTAAAAGAATTCAAACACTTATGAGGTATATGTTCTCATTGAATGACCTGCATGAACATTCGTGAATGTGTAATCAGAAATGCTAATTTCCCATTCGTATGATTTGCAGCATTCGCATACGGCAAACATCATTCTCGTGGAAAATGACTTAACATTCCGTGATCGTTAAATAGCGTATAGACGTAGGGGTCTGTACGTGTGCCTATAGATGGCAGCACCGTACAGTGTGTGTCACGATTTCTGTATCCTACATTAGAGCTTTGCCACTAGATGGCTACAACATAAATATACTATTGTTTTATGTTCACCTTTCCAACGTCATCGACGTATCCATATTTGCCTTTAACTTCACCGGTGGCTTGTTTGGTTTCGATTTTAAATGTGCCATCAGCTGCCTCGTATCCATAAGTGTAGGAACCATCTTCATTGTGCCTTAAATCAAAATGAGCATGTCATAAATAGGTATGGAACGTTCGAGCAAGAAATAACACATTTTACTGTCATGATGAGCTTCAGTTTCAGTGAACGTTATTTTTTTCTGTTTTTTAAGATTATCGAAATGACAACAATGGAGGTATTTCCATCAACTGATGACCTCTTAAAGTTAAAAAAAAAATTCCAACACCCCCCTTATCTGCCTATCCTCCCTAGGTACGCACGATGATCCACGAACATTGTAGGAATTTCCTTCCGTGTGCTCCAAGAGATAAAACAATTTTAGATTAGACATTTTATGCTATTGTTGGCAGTAGTTATCGTCAAATCGAGTGTCATGTCTGAGTCAATTGTAATTAAATTGTAAAAGGATGATTGCAAGAAGTTGTTCCTACCTTTATCTTCAATACTTAACAATATAGTAGTCATTGATCTCATAAAGATAAAATGATTTTGAGAGTGACGCCAATTTTATGAACTTTTGAAATTTGATACCTCTGTAGCCAACCTCACCCTTGAAGATATGATCACGTGGAAATGTCAAAAAAATTTCAATAATCAATCATGTAAATGAGATCATAAACAGAGAAAATGTTGAAGATATAGATATACAGCCAGATTTATATTTGTTGGTTGAGGTCAATAAATATTCACCTTTGTTGATTGACATTAGTACACGGAATTGAAAATTAGTTGATTATAATGATGTATTTGAGCCAGTACGTACCTGTTAATTTGTTTCAGGATGGCCACAGGAGTAGGCCTAGGAGCTGATTGGGCCCCAGAATAGCCTGACTGAATTCTAGCAGGCGCTGGTCTTGGTCTGGGTTCTTCATCGTAGTAGTCCTGGGCCAGACTAACGCCTAGGAGGGTTAACACAGCCAACTAGAAAATAAAACGGAGAATGTCACGTCAGAAAATGTTGGCAAACATGATAAAATCAAAAAGAAAAGCTTTCAGTAGAAAAGATTTTCGGTATAGTCTCTCGATTTCTCAGATGATTCTCCAATTAATACCACAAAGTAGATACATTATATTATACTACTGATTTTGTGAATAAACAAAAACGATATGGATGTGCATTATGAAAGAATCAATGAGGTATCGACTCAAACAAAGAAGACAGTCCTCAGAATAAAAAAAATGTTTCACTCGAACACTGCAGAGGAGTTGAATAGGTACTTTTTGACCTATTTTGATTAGAAATTTACATCATGCATAACTGGGATTAGAAAGAGAGAGACAGTAAGTACCTAGGTTCATGGATATTGGAGTTCCTTAACTTTTTGGAGGATATAGGTTCTTGATAAAACATCCCTGGGCGAAAAACTAGGAAGCTTCGCCGTTCTATGAACGAAATAGTTTTGGTAGAGGATTGTTTCACAGATACAGAGGTTAATAACAAAGCAGTGTGTTGACTTAGCTTGTCATCGTTGATTGGAACGATCAGACATGAATCAGATGAGATCTGCTCTCTGAAAGTTAATGTCAATTGCAGAACAAGTGCTATCAAGGCGTAGCCTGATTGATTCTCATCATATAATTAAGGTTGACTTTTTCTTTCTGGTACTTAACGAGTCCGAAAATTGTCGATTACTCAATCCCAAAGTGCAAGGAAATCGAAACCTGTTTGACGAATTTGAATATGTTCTGCATTGATAGCATTTACTTTTATTCGTGGACTATTTCTGCATTGAAATGCAGACAAGGTCGACTTGGACATAACTTGATCTTGTTGAACCATGACAAACGGTTTCGATATCGAATAAGTATAACAGTACCGGTATTTGCTAATTCATACATAATTATGAAAACCAAGGATTTATATACAGGGTGACCTTTAGCTTCAGGAGAAATCGTATTGAGAATAACGCTTTGCGAAAATAAATTCCATTATTTCCTACAATTCCGATATATCTATGCACAAATGAAATAAATTTGGATGAAGTTTCACTCATCAGAAATTCACTAAAATCCAAAATTAATTGAATATACATATCTATATGGAAAACCTTGACGCTTTCAATAATGGTTTGTTAAGGATGATAGATTCTATATATAGGCGTTGGCATCTTTCAAATGAATATCCAAGCATTTTTATAGCATTTTATAGATATCAGAGGTCAGAACCTTGTATGAAAAGAATGTCCATTTGGTAAGTGGCTTCAACGATGTTTTAGTAGAGCCAATCATTATAATTGAACGATGTCTTGCAGAATTACGGAAGTTTGATAGCTTTCCTATATAATTTTTGGCGAAGTCGCATAGTTTCATTTTTTGAAGATTTGGTGAACTCGCTAGTTGTATGTTTATTATTTTTATCTCTACCGACAACTAGATAGAGCAAAAAAAAAAATTTGTTGGATCAAAATTGTTATAATTGCGATTATGTTTTGAAAAGAAAAACTATTTTTTTCGTTATCATCGACAGTTATGACCAACAAGTTTGCTATCGAGATGGAAAAATATTTTCAACCTCTGAAACAGGATTTGCAATATCAATTATACCCACAGCGTTTATGACCTTCCCAGCATTTTTTGCCTGTATTATTTCCTCATATACGACTGGATTTATAATAGCATATAAATCCTTCAGATATTTTTCTTTCTTGGAGGTATATACCAATGCTTTGTATGCTGCAAGAAACAAAGCGATTCGGGTCGCTTTCAACCTCAAATGCTAGAGGTATTCATTAGCAAACAGTGGCATAATCTATAAATACTTCAAAAAGAATACATTTTTCATATGTACTTTACAGTTTTCAATTCAATGAACTATCTATTTATTTGCTCTGTGATATAATGATTATGTAGATAATCTCAGTATAACATGTTCTGTTCAGGAAACTCAATTTTACGACAATTTTAATATGTATGAAATATGGAATATATGCAAGTTATGATGTTATTGAGTTCAAGAGAACACCACTGGAGAAATTTTAGAGATGCTCATTGAGATTAGCATGAGATTAGCTAAGCCATGTCACGTTTTATTGCGAATTTTCCTTTAAATGTCTGGATAAATTCTTTTGAGGCTGACGAAACAATTGAACGCAGAGATTAAAGTTTAACCTATCGATGACTATCTAGAATGAAATATTACTGTGGAATAATGAGGACAAGATGTGAGATGAGATGTCATTCCTTCAGGATTCTTTTATGACACATTTCGATGAAGAAATGGATCAAAAAGTTTTGTTATACAGTTTTGATTTCAGGTCGAAAGTCATAAGGTATATACATAATTTTGAAACGTTTTAATAATAAAGAACAATACACAAACTGTATAGTTAGGTATTGTTGAAAAAATTCAATGTTCCTCTACAGTCATGCGCAAGCTATTTAGAAGAAAAAAATCAGATATTTGTGGAAAGATTGAAAAATATTCGCAAATTATACCAGTGATGACGTGACGCGTCTAAACTGAATTTTAGTTTCCCAGACATGCAAACCCACGCATATATTGATCAGCCAAAAATTTTGAGTTAAATATTGCTGTGTCGATACTGAGTGTTTCCGAAATTGAAGCTATCGATTGAATGGATGATAGGAGACGAGTAATAAGATTTCATTTTCGTCGAACAAAAAATATTTTGGAAGATATTGAGCTTCAAAGTTTGCCTGAAACTTTTGTGAATCATGGATCAGAGGCTAATGGTGGGAAGGGACATTTTTTTAAAAACTTTCAAAACAATTTCTTCTTGTGATTCTTCATGTCATTTTGTTTCCTAGAACACCCCATTTTATGAATTGCCCCATTTTCGGAAACACCATGATAAGTAATGGAATTAGGTTTTTCTCGATGATTTCGAATCATTGCTAGGAATGTGAGTATGCATTTCTTCATAGTATTTTTTCTCAATCTGTACCATTACACCAATGATCACGTGTCGTTCTGAACCGCTTTTTAATTCATCATTTATGCATATATACCTGATTTTTGATAGCCCAGATATTTTAAAATAATATCTCTATAATGAACTTGATCTTTCATGTTTGTATATAAACAAAATCGAAATTTTTCCCGAATGAAACACCCTTTGATGCTCTAGATCCCAATGAAGGTGAGTTTATACAGCAATTAGAACAAAATAGAAATAGGATAAAATAAGAAAGTTCAACATGGGCATTTCCATGGAACCGTTTATACAGGGAACAAATTAAGAATTAGAATAAAATAAAAGATTACCAACTTTCATCATTTTATTTTATTCTATCCCGAAAATGATAATGCGCATGACCCAAATGAATTCTGTCACAAAATTTCCATAGAACATGAAACATGAGACGTCATTGTAGTCAATGCCGTGATTGGATTGGTTAATTAATTAATCGTTATTTTATTCTGGTTACCTGTATAAACAGTGGATTTTATTCCTTATTCCTTGAATTATCTTATCTTATTCCTTATTATATTTTATTTGCTGTATAAACCCACCTTGACATCAAGAATACTAGACCAGTTATTCAAAAATCTCCACGGAATTCTATAACGTTATCAAGAAACACGAAAAACTAGGATTGATGACATAGCTGAAGTAGAGAAGGTTCACTTATCTATAGAAATGACAAATTGACATTGGCATTGAAATTCTACACTAATATCGTTAACTCAGAATATTGGTTAGAAAGGAATTGTTTCACACCTATGTCTTCAGAATACAAACCACAGATATATATAACATTCTCCTTCTTTGTAACTGTCAGTTGATGAAGGAAAGCCACACTACTTTTTCTCTCAAGAATATCACCAGAAAATACCCCAGATTTCTCAACAAATCGAAAAATTATCACCAAATCGACATGAAAACCCCTTGATTCTGCCGATCAAACACTAACATGGCAACACTGGGCGAGAGCCACCAGAAATGGGAGAGAGTGGGGCAAGTGGGTACTCACGTATCTAAAAAGCGACATGCTCGAGAGTGGCCAGGCGATGTGCACTAGAGTGGCGCGGGGGTCCACAATTACCTTTTATAAGGCGCCGCCACCGGCGCGAAGACAGGGGAGAGGGGGGCAAGGTCTCCTGGGTTCGCCAGACTCCTGCAGTCGGCGGTTCCTGCTGTCCCCAAGGACCTTTCACTGAAAAAAAAAAATTCGTCGAATCGGTCGAGACAAAATATGAAATAGATATTCACGATACGAGTATCGTAAAGACTCATTCTACGATATGAGATGGGGAAATTGATAACCCATCGATTATCGTGATATGATACTGTATGTACGTTAATCGAGGAAGTTGGTACTTTCATTTTACTTGATCTTTTAGGATTTTCTTTCTTCGTTTCTATAAAATAAAAATCTGTGTATTATTTCAGTATATTTGTTGTGGGACAAATCAGATGATATGCCCTAAAATGTCACTGCTTTTAACACATTTTTCTATCAGGAAGCCTAAAAGAAAAATTCAGTAGCTTGTCAGTGACACTTTGTTTGAAAAAATGTTTGAAGGAAAGAAAATATAGATATATTGAGAACATATTGAATTTTTACTTATCTTTGGACGTTTTGAGAACGAATCTGCTTCTGTTCTCAACATAAAAATGCAAAATATTTTTCTTTGGAAGTTGTGCTCTGCTTATAGTTTGACACTTCTCAGTGTGTCATACTGATATTGGCATATGAATGAGTGATTTTAGTCTACAAATGAGTTACAGGATGTTTCCATTAATTGATCTTGAATTTAGATAGAACATGATATTCACTACTGAAAACAGAACATGGAAATGGTAGATTCAATATCAATTAATGAAAACATCCTGTAACTAATTTGAAGTATCAAATCACTCATTCATATGCCAACATCAGTATGATACACTGAGAAGTATCAATCAAACTATAAGCAGAGCACAACTTCCAAAGGCAAATATTTTGCATTTTCATGTTGAGAACGGGAGCAGATTCGTTTCCAAAACGTCCAAAGATAAGTAAAAATTTGATATTTTTCCAATATATCTATATTTCTTTCCTTCCAACATTTTTTCGTACAAAGTTTCACTGACAAGCTACTGAATTTTTATTTTAGGCTCCCTGATAGTAAAATGTGTTAAACGCAGTGACTTTTTGGGGCAAATCATCTGATTTGTCCCACTACAAACATATTGAAATAATGAGCATATCTTTATAGAAACGAGGAGAGAAAATCCCAAAAACTCAAGTAAAATGAATCGTAATATGAGTTTACGATACGAATATAGTATAATATTTTACCTACTACCAAAAATCTAATTATTCAATCAAAAATATTCAATATTTCGTGAACTGACGATTCATTAGGAATATGTAACAAGCAAGCGTTGCAAGAGTTGGGCGTATAGTTGTCGTGAATCTATTACTCGGTTGTCACTCATTCGGCGAACTGTCAACTTTGACGCGTTAATTTCAATTAGAAAAAAAAAATTATCGGCATTAATTCGGATCTGGAAAGTTTAGATAGAAATTGCGGCGAATGCAGCAATCGAGACTTCAGTATCTGCTAAATCCCGGGATAGGATGTTTTATTTCTCCGATTACCATTTATTTCAAATGAGGTTCAATTTTTGTAGATATTGATATTATAATAATTGTAGATTATTACCTGATAATAGTATGTCTATATTCATGATAATTGGTTCTTATTCCTTTTTTGAGTGAAAATAAAATTTTAAATTATATATTTTTCACTTTACCGCACTAGTGCAGGAATTCCCTTGTTCCCCAGGAATGTTTTCTTCAATATTCAAATCAACTTCCTCAAATCTTCAAGTCGATATCTCGAAATCGTTTTGTAATTTTTAACATAAGGACCTTCCACTGAAAATAAATTCGTCGATTCGGTCGAGTCAAAATATGAAAAATACAATTTCAAATGTTTATCGAGTCAAATATTGTTCAAGAATGTCCAAACCAAAGTGCTCAAAGAATTAAGTGGGCCACTCGAATTTTCGAAGTGTTTTAAAATACGATAATTTATTTGCAAATGAACCGATTCATTGATCGAAAATTTTCGATGTTTTCCAGTTATGACATACTTGGTACAGTGTACAGTGATTTTTCCGGTGTGGATCTGCAGATGACATTATTTCAACAAAAAAATTAATTACTTTGAAATGATCGAGAAATAGTCAACAATATTATAGGAGTGGATAAAGGTCACAGGAATGCTTCAGAAAATGTGCTAGTATATAGTGCAATTTATTTTAAAAAAGTGATCCAGACCCTCTAGGTTTTTTCCGATGCCCCCTGTATATGCGGCAATAATTTCTAGTTACGGAACCTTCTTCTCTCATTGACATTCGTTTTCAAATCACCATTATAGCTATCATAGAACTCGAGCAATCGACGCACTAATGACCCACCCTGTATACATCAACGAATATATAAAAACCTATCATAATAGTGTTTCAAAAACCCAATTTTTATATTTATATAACGTGATATGTGAGAGCCATGATTTTCAAGTAGTATTTGAAGAAAATATACATGGAATCCTATACAATTTTCAAGTGCTCATTGAACAAATTAATGTAGATAATCGATTCCTACAAAATATTATTCAATAGTTTCATGAGAACTTGAACCAGATTTTAGAATTTTACATAACCGCTAGCCGAAAGAAAGTGAAATTGAGCCACTTGAACGACATTCGAGAACGGAAATATACCAAAGTAGCAATAATATTGTCGTAATATCCGATGGGTAGTCCACATAATAATATATCGAATGAAATACCTATCAAGAATGAGTTGAATAACGCCCATGCCGTAGGAAATAGGTCAATGTTGATCCGTTGTTCAATGCGCCCTTCATATGTGCCAATATACAAGTTTATAAAATGTTTCAGATGGAAGAAACTAAGTGCACGAACACCAATAAACTAGTGTAAAAGTTGGAATGTTATGGTGGATATCTGATCAAATATCAAGAATAATCGGAATTTGCCCATTTGTTATTCAGATCATCCTTTATTCTGACTATTCCACAATATCAAAATATACAGGGTGCTTCATTGGGGAATGTGCATACAGTAAGGGTAGATGGAGGACACCGAGGTACTCCTTGATAATCAATATTTCATTGGTCTATCATTTTTTATAACAACCAGGATACCATAAATTATGATTAATTGAAAAAATGGGGAGAATCAATAAATCACCCTGCATCCCGATTATAAAAAATGATAGACTAAGGAGAAATAGATTATTCAGAAGTCCTTCATCTACCCTTACGGTATGCGCTTTTCCCATGGATCACCCGGTATATTCCATTTTTTTAGATGATTTTTAGAAATTGACTTATATCTCCAAAACATTCGCAGATATAGGTTTAGGCAATTATCGAGGAAGTTTTGAAGGATATTCAATGGGGGATTAGGACATGCAATAGTATGCAGGGTGGTCCATTTGCAAAACTAGGTTTTTACTCAGTTATTCAACCAGGTGTTTTTGGATTTCCTCTTCTAGTTTTTATACAAATGGAACTGTGAGAAGAGGAGCGAAATTCCCAAAAGAATCTGGTTAAATAAATGGTCCACCTTCTCGAGTAACCGTCAGACACAACACTCTTACTATCTTGATGTTTTGGATTATATATATATTATCCTGAAAAGACTAACTCGATGTGAAATCAACATGGACTCGTAGAAAAACATTCACAAAGTGGTTAATTTGAGATATAATTAAACTTATACGTACTTCCATTTGATACAAGCGGCAACACTGTATCGATGGGAATATTCTAGACGGATAGAGAATACTCGATTATTGATATACATATAAAAAATTATTTATATAATTATTTTCAGATTATATGTCTTTCCGTTTTCAAGATATTTATAATACCATCCATCGTGAATCACTTATCGGGTGCCTTCCTATAATTGCTATCAGCATCTCTTGTTTTATGGCTGAAGATTCATCTATCAAATTTACGATACCTTGAAATCCCAATAAAAACCACTCCAAATTCAGAGCTAATGATTTTAAATCGCCTTATCATCAATAGATACCCAGAAACCCTGATTTTATGGTGTGTTCCGGTGAAAATGCATAAGGACTTCATAAGGAATTTGGCAAATAATGTAAACTGGAGAAACGTAGGTATCGATATAACATACTGAAACTTTTACTAAGAATACAACAAACAGTATTTCACAACCTATACCTACTTCAGATTACATTTGAAATAAACCTCCACATATTAACTAGATCGAAACGAAAGTTATTTTTTTTATGTAATTGATTGTCAAATGGAATGTTCAGTTATTGTGAAATATTCTTTTGCTCATATATATTGTGGTATATTAGAAAAAATATATGATATACCTATGTAAAGGGTGATCTAGATTTTTATACGTTCATTTTCAGAGGTAATAGAGACTATCAAAATGATGGGACTTTTCGTGTTGAAAACCAACAATGTATTAGTTTCGTCAAGTTTACTGTTGATTCTGTATTGAATATCGATAAAGAAAATTTTTGAATCCGTTTGGAGGCATGATTACATTTTGGTGAAATTTGTAAAATTCGTTAAATTTGTACGTATGCATCTTTACAAGCATGTATATATACAAGCTAATTCACCCACTGCAGATGAATCAAAAACGGCTTGATGATCTCATAATAATAATTCCTTCTTTATAATTGAGAAGTAATTCATGGAATCATTGATTTCCTCAAGAATAGTCAGTAGCGTTCTGATTATTTCAAGGAAAGGAATATGAATTCCTGTTACTATTTCTGAATTGATCTGTAGACGTGGTCAGCACAGAATCGAAAGGCGTCAAATAATTCATTCTTATTATTCAAACTGCAATGCCCTCATTAATCCAATGCCCTGTTTTCAATGTATAGTTATAAACAAGGCCTTTAATTATTCATTATGGTAGTCTCTATATGACCCCCTCCAAATAATTGAGCAAAAATCTTACCCACCGTGTAGAACATTTTGAAAGGCATCTGGAAGCGGAAACATTTTGAAAATTTCAGTTTTAATTAAGATTCTGAAAATACGCCTGCTGGGTTATTTTGCCTTTGAAAGATATGTTTGCGATTCTTCATTGTCTATCTCTGATAAAATAATCTCCACTCCATCGATTACAATTATTATGAGAAACTCAATTGGATTCGTCATCCATGTTTTTGAACCACGATTTAAATGTACGTACAAACCTATACTTCCACAATTGTATATAATACCTTCTTCGTCTTACAAAAACAATTATCTTGTATATCTATAGTGAATATCCTGTAATACTCCTACTATAGACACCGAACCATTGGCGCACATAATTATTATCTGATAAATGATGAATACAAAATTTTCATGATATTCTCCTGAATGAGGATAAACAATGGGTTTGTAGAAATTCCTCATCGTGGTAGACTAATTAACCCTCACTAATAAACAAACGCAGAACTGTTAGTTTCCAAAGTTTCAAACTCATAGGTAAACAGTGTTAACAAAGAAACTTCTACCAATACACTCAAAGTAAATGAGTAAGAACTATAGTTTGCGATACATCATCATTTTCATCATCATAATTTTCGATAACCTCAACCAATTATCAATTATTTTTCAGTCTTTGGAAGCACGTTCCATTGACTATCGAACCTATGGATATCACTATTTCATCTTTTCCGGATCAGATTCAACAGGATGATAATGAAAACTGTACATTTTTCCAAAAATTTCAAATTTCAAATTGTCACACGCGTTACTGAAATATGAATGCTTTATTGAGATAATGCATAATTTGATGCTCTTATTTTAATTGGCTTTGTCTTTCTGTCAATCTGGTGGTCAAAATCTTGAAATGATGCATGATCAACCCATTCTCATGTACAAGGTGGTCCTCAAACAACAATTGTGACATCGAGTATTGAAAAAAAAAATTGTTTTGACGAGCAAGAAAATTTCTGAGTCAGGATACTCTTCATTACATATCCATTTGACTCACGTTTGCCATTCTTTTGATTTTCGAAAAATATCCAATATAAGTCCTTTGTAAAGACGTTCACCGCAGATGAAATCACATCCTGATACTCATTAATATATCGCAATTGTGATGAATTCTGTTAGTTGCATGGTATGTCTCGGCAGCAACTTTTTTATCTAGACGACATCCTGTATATTTCTTCAGTTTATCTCATTTGCCTTGAAATTATCTCCTGGAAATCTATAACAAAGTGAGAACGACGCTCTAAAAATCCGTTTTGATGATCTCATAATAATAATTCCTTCTTTATAATTGAAAAGTAATTCATCGAATCATTGATTTCCTCAAGAATAGTCAGTAGCGTTCTGATTATTTCAAGAAAAGGAATATGAATTCCTGTTACTATTTCTGAATTGATCTGTAGACGTGGTCAGCACAGAATCGAAAGGCGTCAAATAATTCATTCTTATTATTCAAACTGCAATGCCCTCATTAATCCAATGCCCTGTTTTCAATGTATAGTTATAAACAAGGCCTTTAATTATTCATTATGGTAGTCTCTATATGACCCCCTCCAAATAATTGAGCAAAAATCTTACCCACCGTGTAGAACATTTTGAAAGGCATCTGGAAGCGGAAACATTTTGAAAATTTCAGTTTTAATTAAGATTCTGAAAATACGCCTGCTGGGTTATTTTGCCTTTGAAAGATATGTTTGCGATTCTTCATTGTCTATCTCTGATAAAATAATCTCCACTCCATCGATTACAATTATTATGAGAAACTCAATTGGATTCGTCATCCATGTTTTTGAACCACGATTTAAATGTACGTACAAACCTATACTTCCACAATTGTATATAATACCTTCTTCGTCTTACAAAAACAATTATCTTGTATATCTATAGTGAATATCCTGTAATACTCCTACTATAGACACCGAACCATTGGCGCACATAATTATTATCTGATAAATGATGAATACAAAATTTTCATGATATTCTCCTGAATGAGGATAAACAATGGGTTTGTAGAAATTCCTCATCGTGGTAGACTAATTAACCCTCACTAATAAACAAACGCAGAACTGTTAGTTTCCAAAGTTTCAAACTCATAGGTAAACAGTGTTAACAAAGAAACTTCTACCAATACACTCAAAGTAAATGAGTAAGAACTATAGTTTGCGATACATCATCATTTTCATCATCATAATTTTCGATAACCTCAACCAATTATCAATTATTTTTCAGTCTTTGGAAGCACGTTCCATTGACTATCGAACCTATGGATATCACTATTTCATCTTTTCCGGATCAGATTCAACAGGATGATAATGAAAACTGTACATTTTTCCAAAAATTTCAAATTTCAAATTGTCACACGCGTTACTGAAATATGAATGCTTTATTGAGATAATGCATAATTTGATGCTCTTATTTTAATTGGCTTTGTCTTTCTGTCAATCTGGTGGTCAAAATCTTGAAATGATGCATGATCAACCCATTCTCATGTACAAGGTGGTCCTCAAACAACAATTGTGACATCGAGTATTGAAAAAAAAAATTGTTTTGACGAGCAAGAAAATTTCTGAGTCAGGATACTCTTCATTACATATCCATTTGACTCACGTTTGCCATTCTTTTGATTTTCGAAAAATATCCAATATAAGTCCTTTGTAAAGACGTTCACCGCAGATGAAATCACATCCTGATACTCATTAATATATCGCAATTGTGATGAATTCTGTTAGTTGCATGGTATGTCTCGGCAGCAACTTTTTTTATCTAGACGACATCCTGTATATTTCTTCAGTTTATCTCATTTGCCTTGAAATTATCTCCTGGAAATCTATAACAAAGTGAGAACGACGCTCTGAAAATCCGTTTTTTTTTTACAATTTTAACATAACATGGTGATCTCCTACACGCTTCGATCGCCAGAAAATTTCTCAATCGGTTTCCTGCTTAGAAATTTTCTTGCTCGTCCAAACAAGATTTTTTTTATTACTTGATGTCATAATTGTTGTTTGAGGACCACCCTGTATATAAGAATAGGTTGATCATGCATCATTTCAAGATTTCTGACCACCGTTCGAACCAGATTGACAGGAGCACAAAGCCAATAGAAATTATAGAGCATCAAATTATGCATTATCTTAATAAAACATTCAAATTTCAGTAACGCGTGTGACAATCCAAAAAAAATTTTCACAGTATCGAGAGAACATATGAAGCAGTATGTTTTTGCCCTCCAAAAAAATGGAAAATGTTTCTTTCAAACGGGAGGCGTTTGAAATTTTGAAAAAATGCACAGCTTTGATTATCATCCTGTAGAATCTCATCCGGAAAAGATGAAATAGTGATATCCATAGCTTCGATAGTCAATGAAGCGAGCTTTCAGAAACTGAAAAATAATTTAAAATCGGTTGAGGATATCGAAAGTTATGATGATTCAAATATGATCGAAAAAATGCGATTTTACGTTTCATGTGTCGAGCAGTTTATTAACTCAAATCAAGGATGAAGAAGTAGGGCGGTGAATCAAATTTGGATCACCCGATCTAGAATCTCATATCAAGAGTTGAAGCGAATCTAGAGCTCTTTGGTCTTCGTGTTTATAAATCAAACTACAATAACAGAACCCAGAATCAATCAGATCAGGTGTGCCACTGCATTTAACAGTATTATAGGTACACTTACACTTATCTAGGCCTATCTATAGACGCGATCGAATTGCAAAATATCAAATGTTAGAAAAACTAGTTCAGTAGGAGGTCTTTGCACAGGTCTTTATCGCATTCCAGAGCATTGATTCAAGGTTTTCCTGACTCCACCCGTATCTCTAGCCGCTTCAAAAGCCACCGAGAATACCAGAATCATGAATTATTGTGAAACTATTTCTTCAAAAAGGTGGAGCATAGTTATTCATAGGCAAGGATCGTAAAATCAAGTTTGCTATGTCCACGGATCGACAATAACAATTTATGTGTTAGTTATGAATTTTTGAAATTAGAACTATAATCATTGATGGGAAGGAAAGTGAATCAGGAGAGAGAAGGTTTTTTGAGTATAGGTTTTTATTTTCCAAATATGTATACAAAAGTAATGAGGCATATAGTAGGTATATACAAGTGCCTCTATTATTTAGGCAGAATAAATATCGAATGGAGTTAACAGAAAAATAGAGAATATGGAAAATCTACAGATAAGCGTGCTTATTGTCAGGTTTCTTTCAAAAATATAACATTTTTGACAAGGGTATTCGTCTAATCGAGTTAAGAATTCGTATTTTGATGAGAAACAGAAGCTACTATACACACCTGATAGTTTCAATTCATCACCAATTATTTTCACCTGGGTTAGTGTCGAAAGAAAATTGATCAAAAATATAATTAATATCATAATGTTCCATAACGATCTGTGCTTAAAATGCTAGACATCGGTATAGTCTTCACGAAGTCACTTGGAACAAATTCATCAAAAATCATTGCCGGCGGCACATGGTCCATTTGATTTATTCAAAGGGACCGACAAGCGCGGTGAAATTTTTATGATCAAGCTGTCTCAAGTGACTTTGTAAAGACTATGCCATCTTTGTCTTATAACATTATTAGAAAACGAGACTAGTACGTAGTTCCTGCGAAATAATTTCACTCAGTTATTTTGAAATAATAACTTTCTTCAACTGATCCAGCAAGTTTGGCAATACGGATTCCAGAAGGAAATTTGGACAAACAACTATTTTCGAAGTAATGGGATCATTCTCACTGGTAATTTTCATTGTCCCCAAAGTATTGTCTATGATATAATATTATCTACTACAACTTCATTCGATGGCAGTATTCTGTGATTTATATTCTTAGAAACAAAACCTTCAAGGTTCAAGAAGCAAATCACCTGAGAAAGAAAACATCATGGCAGAAAAAAAAACATTTTGTAACAACTAGTCAGTCCCAAACGTTAATTTATTATTTATAATTAACCGAATATGACCCAGTCCAAAGATCCACATTACTAGCAGGATGCCCATTCCAAGAGGGCCCATTACTATTACTATTCTGGTTATAATTGTTGTTATAACTCGGCTGCGGCGGATTATTCCAGTTAATGTTGTTGCTGAATCCGAAGTTAGACTGCGGCCTATAGGGCTGAGGCTGAGGCTGTGGCTGCGGCTGGTAGGCAGGTTGGTAGCTCCTAGGCTGCTCCGCCCTGTACTCAGGCTCGTACGCAGGCTCCTCCTGCGCATAGTAGGACTTCGGCCTGTAGGAAGCCTGCTGCGGCCGGTACGCCGGCTTATAAGTGGGCTCCGGCCTGTAAGCAGGCTCGGGTCTGTAGGCAGGCTCCGGCCTGTAAGCAGGCTCGGGTCTGTAGGCAGGCTCCGGCCTATAGGCAGGTCTGTACGGCTCAGGCTCAGGCTCGTACTGAGCCTGGCTGTAGATCGACTGCGGCTGATAGCGACTGGCTTGTGGTCGCTTCGGCTGGGGCCTCGATTGGGCTGCTGGCTCGTTCTGGTAGTACACGCTTGGATCTTCTCTGTACTGGCCGTCGTCTTCTTCTTCCGGGGCAAGAGGCCTCACTGGGCTCTGAGGGTTCCTCAAAGTTGGAGGGGCTACTTGGATCTCCGAGCCAGAGGGTTCGAAGCCTCTTTTGCTGGCGCCGTACTCCACTTCTCTCAAGGCTCCGGTGTCATCAATGTAGCCGTATTTGCCGTAGACTTGGCCGTCTGCGTATTTGGTCTCGATTTTGAAGGTGCCATCAGCTGCTTCGTAGCCATAGCTGTAGGAGCCGTCTTCGTTGTGTTTGTCGATTTGCTTGAGGATGGCTACAGGGGGAGCGTATTGTTGGTTTTTGGCTGCGTAGGTAACGGCCAATAGGGTGGCCGATATGATCTAGAATTCAATGTATGTTTATAGATTTGAAAGCTTTTTGGTAATTTGTGGTTCGCAAAGCGAGAGTGGAGTGTCAACCAAAAAATTAGGATTATAATTCAGTGCGCAGAGATATATTGACTCCTCTACTGGTTTTTTAAACACCTCAAAGGGTTATTTCATTCACATTACCCGTCATGGTTGAAGCTGATAATCCCATTTCATTTTGTCTAAACGTGACGTCATTTCCGTTTGGGTTCACCAACTCCAACGATGATAAAAGTAAAGGTGGTTAATGCCAAACTCGAAGAATTGTTTACAAAGTGGAAGATGGAAAATACATGGGAACAGTCAAATTACAAATCAATAGAGTCAATCTTGAAGTACAAGATACACGTTCCTGCTTTGCGTGGAAAGAAATTCTGAATTGAGACTCTATCACGAATCTGCGATTAGAGGTCTATAAAAATCACAAGTATCCAGTTTGAACCCCCTGATTGGGTATTACAACTTTTAAACACTATATTTTGGATAAATATGGCATCAATTATCTCTCTTCTTCTCATTCGAAATATGCGATAGAAATCTTAGTCTAGGTAATAATCTATTCAGGTTTCATAAAAATGAGGATTCCTGAAATGAGGATTCCTGAAATGATGACACCTGATGATGACTCTTAGAAGAGTGATTGTTTTGATTTAATCAAATGAAGTAATATATCTCTTCCTCCTGACAAAAACAGAGGTCAAATCAACATGAACAACATGGTTGCACATGACCTATTTTTTTTCATTTTCAATTTTTATAGACATGATCAATTAGGTTTACACATGATGAATAAAACATGCATAAACAACAAATATTCTTCTTTTAGATTCAAAATGAAATAGTGAAGTTATTATTGGGTAAACCGAGGGGTAAACTGTGTGAAGTGAAAGAAATAGGAATTAAAAATTGGTTAATGTTGACATCATAATGACGTAGCTGCCTTCCAACAGTTCCAACACCTTCTCCAAAATACTATAACCGGGTTCAACTGGTAACGTGAATGAAATATCCCTCTGATGGATCGAAAATTCTTCAGTCTTCTTGAGGTAGGACTTTGCAGACGATTATGATACAGGGATATACTGAAAATTTATTTTTTATCGGGATTTCTATGTACAATAATTCCTGAATGGGTGAGTCAGTCAGAATATCGGCTACAAAATTGAGATATGTAACATCCTTGAATTTTTCTATCCTAATAACTTTCAATTCATGTGGATACATTGGATGAACAATCATGTTTTCTTTACGTACATATTGAGATTATATGTTATAATATAACAAAAGTGAATCAAATTGCAACTGTGCCATATATTATATTTTCAATATGAATTATTTTTTCTATCGATGATCAATAATGGTTCTGAAGCTGAATTTTAGAGGGTGTGGTAAGAAGTTGGAAAAACCTTTACAGCAGTGAACAGGAAGTGTCTTGGAAAGTAGCAGAACCTTGAAATCAAGATATAATAGATATAGGAGCTTGCTCATGACTCGTCGAAAAATTGAATATTTCTGAAAGATTAATTATTCACACGACAAATAGAAGTCCTTCAACCGCAACTTTTTTCATTCAAGGTTATTATTCAGATGTCAAGATCACAAAGCGTTACAAGATATGGGTATGGTGATTATTTAAACTCTTGACTATACAGTGACATGTTTCAAACATTCAAAATTCTTGAAAAAAATCACAATGTTTTATGTCAGGTGTGTTGGTTACAATTATATATCATGTTACTTGTAAATAGATGTTCATAAGCTCTGAAAAAAGTGTATAATTTGAAATGGTGGAATTATTTTTGCATTACAAAACAAAAATAGCAAGACTTCTATTAAAATTTGTTAATTACTTCGAATAAAATAAATATCAAATTATTGTTATGAGGTAATCAATTGAAATGGTCCTTGTATTATAACCTTCAACTATATGGTTATTCAGTGTCTTATATAAAATGAGTAAAAGTTGTCAGAACATACTTTAATGATATATTTGAAGAACCAGATCTCCCACCAAATATTGAAAATTTTACTTTCACCATTTACTCACATTGAGTTGATTATCTTCAGAGCTCATTTGCAATAAGTATCAATATTTAGATAAAAACCAACAATAGCTGGATTGAAAACAGCGAACTCAAATTTCAAGATTTTGAGTCATCCTAGATTGTTGATATACAGAGTGTTTTGCAAGATTAATGGATATATTTACTACTCGAAGCTCGAAGACCCAGCACAAAACATTGATCAACTTGTACAGTATTCAAGATTGTATGACAGGAATCGAGATTTCACGAAAAAAATGAATGTACAGGGTGATATAGCAACCAATGAACGGGGTAATTCCAACTCCAATTATCAACTGTGAAAAACACTATCTCAAATTTTGGATCTTGTTCATCAGGAAAATGCCCCACCATTTTCACACACCTGTCACTACGTCACTTCTGCACATCATAACAAAACAATCGCCACCATAAATACTTACGAAAATCCTCATCTGGCCAAAGCACTATAACCGATATGAAAAGAAGTAAACAGCCTCGCCCAGCCTTACCCAATGCTTTTATAGTTCATATCCCCACAATTGCGTGTTTGTTAGCAAGGTTATGTATAATATACAAAATGTGTGCCCCACACACTGACAGGTACAAAAATATTGGACTTCTTGTCCAGCCGCCCTGATGTTGACCTTCGTACGAAATCTTCCGGATCATCAATTTCGATAGCACTTCCCATAACAACTCTACACTTGATCATTGAGCAATCAGCATATTATGTGGAATAGCTAATTGGTGATTAGATATCTGTTTGACAAGGTGGGTCACTTTGAGTTTTCTTAAAAAAAAACTCACGTTGGAAAAATTCTAAACTCTTAAAACTTAAAATTCGTAATATTTACTGAACTAGAGAGTGGTAAGAGGATGAATAGCAGCTTGTTGTAGGTACAGGGTGCACGAATTGGTTGAGGAAAGAATCGATAGCACAAACAAATTTGATTCCATAATCATAAGCAAAAATTTTTAGGACAACTCTATGAAATATTTCATGCTACTGGATTTTTCTTTTAGACTCCCTGATAGAAAAATTTGTTGAACGCAGTGACATTTTGGGGCAAATTATATGATTTGTCCTCCTACAAATATATTGAAATAATACGAATACTTCTATTTTATAGAAACGAGGAGAGAAAATCCCAAAGAATCAAGTGAAATGATATTTTATATTCGCACGTGTATGAAATGAGAGGCATAATAGTTTACGAAACAATATGTATTTCTCAAAATATTTCTTTCAAAATTTGAAAATGAACTACTCAGTATATAGGTTGTTCAATAATGCGGGCAGCACTGATAGCAAGCTGGGTCATTGAAGACGAACTGAAAGTTATGGCTGTCCAGAAATATGTCTATATACAGGGTGGCCCACGAGGTTTTGGCCAGTCGATATCTCGAAATCTATTTGAACTACAATTTTGAATTTTTGTGGTTTTGAACAATGGAATGCGGTGACCATTTTTGGTATAAGAGGGTTTTATTGCAACATTGCATTTCCAATCACGTGATATCAACTTCAAAATTTCAAATGGAACACCCTGTATATTATTGCATTTTTGTTAAGACCTTTCTAATGCAAATACTACGATACCATCATTGTTAGGGTTTTCATGTGAAACGGTGACAATATAAGCTGTCAAATAAATGGAAAATGGAAAATTTATTGAAGAACAACTTCCTAAACAAAATAAGTAGAAAAAGCATTACAAAAATATCAAAAATGAACACCACATTCCACTGTTTGAAACCACCAAATTTCAAAATTATAGTTCAAATAGTTTCCGAGATATCGACTGGCCAAAACCTCGTGGGCCACCCTGTATAGGAGGAATTACAGTAAATACAATTTCTTCTCGGAAACCATGCATATTATTTTCATTCATTTGTTTCTACTTGTATTTGTTGTCAATTTACACAAAAAACTGATGGAATGTGTATTGGAGTTCAATTTTTTTTTATTAAATTATAATGAGAGCAAAATTTCAGGAAAACCATTTATAAAGGGATAATTATTGTTTGCATCATTTCTATTTCATAAATGTTATGAGAATGTCAAGATTTTCTTCAATATTGTATTATTTTGTATCCAGAGTAATTCTACGGAAACAGGGAGAATTTGTTTTAATTCTATTTAACCTGAAAAAAACAGAACAATAATTCAATATACAAATACTAAGTTGATAGTTTATAGAAATAATGACTTTTTTATTTTGTTATTCCTAGAAAATTGTGAGTATGAAGAATATCAATCTTCTGGAAAACAACTAGGTGTGCCGATATAGGTTGGGTTATAATTTGGTGAGTTCTACTCAGGAAACTCCAAATTTATTTGATTGATCGAACCTGCTTCTACCAAAAATGCTTCGAGGTTCATAACACAATTTATAGATTCCTTTGTACAGATACTACTATGATTTAATTGGACCCTGATGTTTCATTATCATTTTCGCGAAGCTTACACCTTGCAAACATCTAAACTATTCGAGGAATGTAGATCAGGTTATTGACAAGGAAAACTCATTTTTCAGGCGTGCCGACCTCGGAAGATATAGATACTAATGTATATAATATGTATATTTACCTATCCTATGAAACCATTAACCCAAGTAGGTATCTCATAAGAACCATAGAAAAAAACTACTGATTCTCGATTCAATCGCTTTTGAGGAAGAGAATAAGATAAGAATAACGACACCTGCACCCTCAAAAAATACATTTTTTTTGTGATGAGAAATTTTTTTCCAACAAAAGGATATAGCTATGGAGTGACGTATTTCATATGAATCTGTAATCGTAAACACAAAACAGTATAGATACGATATATTGTCCATGATGAGAAAAAACATTATTCGTTCAGATCAGCCGCTGGAGAATTCCTTCATGTTATTGAAAACTATAGTAATATTATTTTTACCAACTTTTACTGAGATTAACCAAGATTCTCAGTGCAGCTCAATAGCTCAGCTGAATAACATGTTTCATTTATCTTAGTCTGATGTGAGTTGTCTCGAGAACTTATTGAGACTATTTCTTTCCCCTCACTTCAACTGAGCTTGCTATTCATCTGGTGTTGTAGTGAGAAAAAGATGAGACTGGATTAATTCTAGTAATTCTGTGATTCTGTGCTGAAAATTGTGAGGTTATATTTTCATTTTGTCATGCTTGCAGCTTCGAAGTTTCAGTCCACAGGTTGAATTCTTTGAAATATGCTTTGAATACTCACTACAATAATATCTCTATGCTCCTCATTAATTTTCTCAGTCATTTTCCATTTTGGTCGAATTATGTTGGGTTATGTTTTCTTCCCTTGCCCTTACTGACAGATAAAAACGTGTTCTTCTTATTCAATCGACAACTCAGATCCGTCTCACCTCCTTCTCAGTGATGAGAATGTAACAAGGTAAAAAGAATATTGCTATAGATTCCAGTTGGTGAAGGTCGATATGAGCATTCATCTATTCCATGAATTTCTCAGATGTTTCTATATGTTCAATGTAACTATCTAGATGATTGGTTTGAACCACGAATGAATATATCATTGATCTCTGATGGCATTAATGTAAATTCTGATCCAGAAAAAACAATTCTTGCAAGCTCATGCAACATTGAACCTCCTTTTTCTGTTTGAACATGCGTAGGTGTGTACCGATTTTGAATTTCATTCTCATACGCCCCAAGTAGAAAACGTGACTTACATAATCGTGTCTCGCCCGGGAAAAATAGAGCGAAAGCTTGAAAAGGCAGTAAAAGGTAATTGTATTACCTAGTTAATGCAGGTTTTTTTGGTTACAGTCTATTGGCAACCTTGGATAGAAATTCGAGCCCAGTACAACTATATTTTATTCCTATACATTGAAATAATCATCTACTCCCATACATATAGTATATAAGATCACTTCCACAGGTAAATTTCGTGAATGATATAGTAAGTATGCTGAATACTATAGCCCAAATTGACCCTATTTTTACGAGAATTCCAAGTTTTGTCAGGGAATAATATGTACCTACTTCAATCAATACCTACATAGGTTTTTTATACCATATATCATAGATATTGTTGTCCCTAATATGTATAGTGATGAAAAAGGTACATGCTCAACTACATTCAGACAAAGAAATCGAAAATGGTTACTAGTGGTTTAACTATAATACTAATGTGAGTTTGCTGTGGGTTTTGGGATGAGTCTTTTGGACTTCTGTGGAGTGTGGATAGTGCGGATATTCTTGAGTGGTTCACCTGGTTCACCAAATCATTAACTAATCGGTTGCACACTGGTGAAATTTCCGGATACACCAACATCATGATATTAAATTCGTAACTCGTATGTAGGCAAGCAGTAATACACAGCTGTTGTAGTGAAAGTCTACATACCGTAACTGTAAACAGTGTGGTATCGGTATTGTCATAAGGTGCACCGAAAAGTCATATACCACGTACCATAAAACGGTTTTTTAGGAATATGTTTATATGTTCATATTCATGCAGGAAACTGGAGAATCCACAGGGGAAACTTTATTGAAATCCTCCAACAATTTGTTAGCTTCCTACTCATTAGATCGCGTCACATTTGAAACATGTTCCTTCGCCATTTTTTATAAACGTGGGTTACTGGTCTAGTCTGTATTAGGTAAGGCTATTTCTAGGCCATGTTCAGTAGCATTTCGCGCACTAGATACAAAAATAACTATTGTTTGAAGTTTGAAGAAATGCCAATTGTACAGATGTGTAGTGTTTCTGAAATAAGATAAAAATTGGCGAACTTTGCGAAGCCTGCGAAATTTCTTGATTTTGATAAAATAGATCGTACCAAAGGGTTATTCATGTACCAAGGACGAAAGACTGTCCGTTATAGTCAAGTCTGCAAATTAAAAGCCTGCGAAATTTCTTGATTTTGATGAAATAGACCGTACCAAAGGGTTATTCATGTACCAAGGACGAAAGACTGTCCGTTATAGTCAAGTCTGCAAATTAATAGCCGAGGCTAGCAATCAGGCGATACAATAGACATTTTTTTGCGAGGTGGATATTACATTTTTTCGTCGACCTCAAACACTTATATTCACATCACGGTCCTTTTCAGACGTGACATCTATTGGATTTCGTGAATAATTAATTTGACAACAGCAAATGACACTCTCTCAAAAATGTTTACAGTGGTATGGGACTCATATTACGATATGAGATTTTTTTATCGCTTGGAGCGCACGAAAGGGAATCCCTATAATGTTCAAAGAACATCGTGCGTTCCTAGGGAGGATAGGGATAGGAGGTAGTTATTGGAATTTTTTTTGAACTTCTGGAGATTATATTATGTTGTTGGGAATACTTCCTCAGGCAATGAATTCCAGAGCCTAGCCGTTTTATGGATGAAGGAGTTTTGATAAAGAGATGGGAAATTTGTCAAACGAGCCCGAAGTCCGAGTTTGATATCCCATCGATTATCGTAATATGAGTTTACGATACGAATATAGTACAATATTT